TACCTCTAGTAGCCAATCAAATCAAATTTGTATTCATTTTCTGCCAACGACAGCTCAGTCAAGAAATAGCTGGTGCCAAATCATCCTACTGCTGCCCAAAATAATACCGCCACCATGGCCCCCCCCCCCCCCCCCTCCAATCGAAGCGCCATGAGGCAGACTGCGTCCCAGCTCTGAGTTTAACAGGATTCAGCACGCCGCTTCTAGAGTCGAGACTAGACGGCCTTCTTCCCTCCGAGCTCTGCCTTCTTCAGACATGTCGTGTTTGAAAAGGAAACGTGAGCTACTGAGAACCTTCGGTGATCTGGAATGTGCACAAGTAATATTTAGCTCAACTTTCAACTGTGCTTACGTGTTTCACAATGCAGAGGCCATCGTATATACATCAGATTCTCACGTACACGCAGGCTCGTATGTCATTGTTGATTGTGATGGTGCCAGTGGTCGCTTACAGTTATTATTTAGAGATTAATACTTTCTAACAACAGCACACCAAAACAAAAAAATGAAATGTTGCCAAGCAAATGCTTACTAACCATGGGGGATTTCCCATCTCAGTATGTCTGAAAACCAGAAGATACTGCATATGCTTTGGAATTATGAAAAGGTACACAATGCCTTGTAAAATGTGCATGTTAATTACTGAGTTTTAGAAGCAGACTTGGTTCAGGCAGAGCCGCGATAGAAGTTTCCCCATTTCCAGTCGTTATGCTAAGCTGAGCTGCTGGCGGTTCCTTCGTATGTGATGTACAAACACGAGTGTGGTTTTCATCTCCTCAACAAGAAGCTGAGTCAATGTTTTTCCCAAAACAAATCAATCTATTAATCAGTCAATCATTTTAACATCAATATTTTCTCATACAGGTCTACTATGTACATATTAAATGTTGACAGTACACGCGTCTAAGGTGTGTCGATTTTCTTCAAAATGCAAATATTATTGATAGGATTTCTGTAGTTAATGTAGTTAATGTATTGTATTATATACAAATGCCACTGACATGGTGCTTACATTTAACGAGCACTTTGACGAGTAAGTCGAGGATTAGCCGATTCAATTAATTAAGTAATTGGTATCCGGATGTGCTGTACAAATGTAGCTACATCTGCACTAGAGCCGACTCCGTGTGCATTTGGGAATGGATCTAAAAAGGTTGACCAAACGCCATAAAACCACACTGAAGTTGTTGAAAGCAGTGCTGAAAGAAGCCCTTCTTTGTGTTCCTCCTCATTGGGACGGGACCTCATGGCCATTCAGCGGACCACGAGGCGCGCTGGAGCTCCTCCAATTGCTTCCCCTCACAATATGATGTGCTGTAGAATAGCAACTGGTGAGATGCTGATGGTAAGGCCTCTGGTTAGCTGGGTTGTCTCCATTGCCCATGTGCTTTAGTTATGGGAAATCATTTAAAAACAGAAAAATATCCCCAAGGATCAAATGTATGTGGCAAAAAGTAGGTTGCGCATCAGGCCGAGGGTATTTCATCTCACATCTCACTCACTGCCTGCCTGCTTCTGTATCTCCTCTGCTCTGACAAATATTGGAAACGGTACAGTGATAAACTATGGATCCAGCCCTGGGGATGATACATCGAGATGACAGACCGCGCGGTCAGCTTCCCGGCGAGTGATGAATTGCACCCCGTCACATGAACTCTGCAGCAAACACGACTGTGACTCAGTGTGTCAGACCTGCTTCCTGCCAAGATGTGGACAGGGCTTTGTACTGCATAGGTATTTAATCGGGTTTATCGGGTCGCGGTAGGCACCTTGGTTTAACACGCTGACACTAAACGATAAACGTATTCAGCTTTAAAAAGTATCGGTAAAATTAAAACGTTAACCTGATTATGGAGCTGAATGAAAAGTCAGGGGATCTAAGGTTATCAGGAAAGATCGCCACAGAACCACAAAAACAAAAAGGTCTGAACGGATCCACAAAGATGTTGTATAATTTTGCATATTTTTCTGAATAAGTGATAATCTGATAAACAGTCGGAGGATGACATAAAAATTCACATTTAAACTTACTGAACCACAGATGTTCACGGTAATCCATTTTTTGTACCCAAGTGGTGGATCAGCCCAGGTAGACTGAAAATGTGTTTTACTTGGGCATTGATGGTAGTAAAAATGAAAGTGCCAGGAAATGAAGGGTCTGTAATAAATGCATTTAATATATCTCTCTGCAGTGCAGCCTTTTAGAGTCTGTACAGTGAGTGTAATGGACAAAGAGACGGCCGGAGCGGACAGACTGTCGGCCTCAACGGCTCATAGTTAGAGAGCAAAGAGGGACCGAGAGTTCTGTCTGAATTTCCAGTGCAGAACGTCTGTGTTAACGTAACGTAACGTCCATACTAATGGGAAGTGGAACATTACAGGTTAGGTTGCATTCATTGTTATTCTAGCCATAAGGTCTGGCTAATGGAGCATGACTTTTTCCTTTCATTCACAGGAATGAGCATGACTGTCTTATCGCTTATCTCTCTGCCTTCATCATCCCACCCCCTAAATCCACGCTGCAGTCACACTCCTCACAGGCAACTTCCTTTCCAATCTTCAACCAGCCATCAGCCATGCAACGGGGTTCATGCAACGAACCCATAAGATTCCATGCTGAAAAAGGTGCAACCTCATCACGGCCAGTCGCCCGTTCCCCAGGTTTTGTGCAGCCAAACATCATCAGCATCAACACAACTGTGTTCACAGCCACAGTGCCAATTAGGCCACAGTATGGCATTTGACCCAGCGTGGCCCCTTTTTGTCTCTCGAACCATCTGATATTCCGCCCGCTGAGGTGGAAACTCTGACCGAGAGGAGCAGGAACCGGAGCCATCGGTGTCAGTTGCAGGGCGACGCCGGGCGCTTTATCTTTTCTCAAAGAGACAGTAGGCAGCCTACCTCGAGTCAATCTGACTATGAAATCACTTAAATCGCGATGTGTTCCTGGCGAGAAATAAAGGACTAGATAATTGCTGGACAAATGTGGTTTGTAGACCGTGCAGTTATCTCACTTCCCTACCGCAGGGGAGAGGTTATTATCAGCAGGATCCGAGCCCATTGGACGCATGTTTTTCTGTGTCCTCCCTCTCTGCTGGGCCAAGTTTCTTTACAAAGACTTATCATCCTCATCTCAGCATGTATGCTATAGACCCTGCTTCTGTTTTTACACGCAACACTTTACAACACAATGTAAAAATAAATAAATCAATGTTTTCCTTGTTCTTTGTTGGACAGATAACAGATTTATCAACCTCAAATGTTGGCTGAGGACTGAAGAAAATGTCCTCGGTGCACACCTCTAGGCAAAGACAATATCTAGCCCGCTGAGATCTCTATCTCCAGTGCTGACTTGAGATGGAGGACATAATGCGTGTTAAATTGAGCATGAATAAAGCTTTCGGTTAGAGGGGGGCCTTCTGTTACCGTCTCCCGAGCGATAGACCAGCTCGTTCCTGCTGCAGAGACAGCAGCGATCTCGGTGTCGAACTTTATGAAACCCGACAGCAAGCCGACGCGAGGAGCAAGCGAAAGAGAAATTAAACATGAACAAAAAAATGGAGGGGAAAAGAAATGAGTCATTTTGAGTGTTCTTTGGAAGATTGAGCAATCTTAAACACTCCGATTTTGGTAACCCCCAAACGACTACATTATCCCAAGAATAATCTGAGGTTGATATCGTCTAAAAGGAAGCATTTTCACAGATTACGAGCCCTGGAGCATGTTGAAGAAACTCCTTCATCGAATCGGTGTTGGTGACCTGAGAAAATACTAAGCAGATGCAGCGCATCTTCCCGTAGTCCTAAAAACAGCTGCTAAAACGTGAAAAGATAAAAGAATCCACCACTATAATAATGAGCAGTCGTGGACAAGGAGCTCTGCCGTCCACTTTAGGAGCAACATTTACCCATAAGGCCTCAGGAAACATCCTTGTTCATCCTTGTTCAACATTGTTCTTCTATTCGGAGACAATCAACAGTCCTACGCCCTTAAAGTTTCTTCAAATAAAATTGTGGACCAAGGACACCTCTCAGAAACACCACAGTCCACAGAAATGCTGGGATAAGGTCTCTTATAGTTTGTTATAGTTTTGTCTTTGCTCTTTAAAGGATAAAATTAAATCAGCAACAAATACGCAGAGAAGTAGCACTTCTCTCAATATTATCTAACTAACCAAACTACACCGTCTGCGTCACTCAAGGATCATCAGGTGCAAATGAAGATTAACTATTTTTTGTGAGTGAGTACTTAAGTAGTAGTAAGTAGTGTGATAATTGGAGACTACTTTCAGCCGTGAATTTAAAGACATTTGGTGTATTATAAGTATTACAGCTGCATGTAAGCGCTGAGACTCATTTAAACGGTGGATTGTCTTTCAGTGCAACAATGTGGTTCACTTATGTGGCTAAAGGTCTTTACACAGGCAATGCCTGTTAAAATTTACCAAAGAACGGTAACGACCTTAGAATTATACAACATATCTCCAGTCTGGTCCTTAAAGAAAGCTGAGAGTAAAATATATAATATGAATGACTTATGAAATGAAATAATATTCACATTTAGAATCTAATTTGAGCTCAACTTCAACATAATCAATCATTCCAAGAATTGCTGTTTCCTTCTTCCATTACATTAAAGCACAGGTGTCCTCACACAGACAGAACTGGGAAATAGAATGGTGTCCGTGTTTCCCAAATAAAATCCTGAGGAGGACACAGAGGAGGAAATACGTGGTAGTAGATGACAGCTGGAGCAACATTTTGGGAGATTTAAGGAGCTGTAAAAATGTACCACTACAATAAACAAAAGGATTCCTCCAGCTTAATCCATGCACTAAACAACTTAACGTCATGCAGTTGCCATGCCAACCGGTTTCCAGGCTGCGGCTGCATCGGTGGCAACGGGATACGCTTATTGGCTACTGTGCTACAAGAAGGGAGTCCCAATCAAACATTAGTATTCCTGTCAGAACGCGTCGGCGCAAGGAGGCTTTAACTCACCGACACGTCAAAGAGCTCCTCTGTGTCGTCCAACATGCGGACCCTGATGGTGACATGGCGTCCAGAGGGCATGGCGGGGGGTCTGTGCCCGGGGTCCAGTGTACTGATGCCGAGAGTCTCCGGGGCGCCAAGACGCTGCCCTGCTCCGAGGGCCATCGGCTCCGGCTCTGCCATGCTGCACTGCAACGCTCACTGCCCGGAAACCAAGGGAGGGAAGCCAAGTCAGTCAGCATGAATACAAAATAATGCAATAGAGAAGTTACATTAGCAGAAGTAGCAAGAAAGCTTCTCTAACGGAGCATCGGTGCAGCAGGTGAAACACAACAAGATGAGAGGAAGGGCTGCGCGCCCTTCAGTGTCACAGCAGCACAGCCCTTGCAGATGCAGGTTTGCACTCGTCGCTAATGGCTGATAATTGTTGCTTGTGGGGGAACCAATTAACGTGAAAAGGTCCAAGCATGTTCTTGATTTCAAAGCACGAATTAAGCAGCCTTACTTTGATTTGACACGCGAATGAGAAGGCCAAAGTGTAAAATCAAAGAGTCAATGCCCCGATAATTGATAGCAGGGGACATAGACGCGGGGCTGTTAGGCCTTTAAACACTTGGTTGGGTTTTAATTGGCCTCAAGGGGGTGAAGGCAAATACGTGAATACACTGCAAGAGATGTGAAACAAATGAGCAGTGAATATAAGTAATCAAGAGAGTGAAGAGTTATCCACACACACACATAAATATGATATATATATATATATATATATATATATATACATATAACTATTTAAATCCAGGTCTGACCACGTCGATCTGTTGCTTTTAAAGACAGACAGCAGACAGCAGACTAAAGACTTGGACAGGGCGGTTAAATTCTCTACCGGAGGCACATTCTTAAAATAGACAAAAGGTGAGGTAAGAAATGGATGTAAACAGAGCAAAGACATTTGTAAACAGCTTGAAATGAATGGAGGCGTCCCTCCTTTAAGAGATCCGACGGGACCGCGTGGGTGCTCCAGGCAAACAAAGTTGTGAAGCGCTGCCCTGCTGAGATTCCATCTGATATTCAGATGAAGGGAGGAGGGGCGGGCGTTGGGGTTCAGATGCCTTGTGCCTAGATCCCCCGAGGCCCGCCGGTCTCTCCTCATTGCACATTCCAGCAGGCTGATGTCATTCGGAGACTTCACCAAGTGCCTCATCACAGTTCTGGGGCCAGCGAGCGGTTGTTCAGTGGCGGGCAGAGGTGAACGACTGCTGCCAAGTTTGAGCTGAAAGCGGAATAAGGCATTTTAAAAGGAGGAGTGGATAATGTAATCCGCCAGAGTGCAAGGGAGGAAATAGACCCAAGGACAGGGGATGCACTCCATTCTGCCCGAGGCTTGGAAGACGTTAGAGTGGTGGCTGACCGGTAGGGCTGCAAATAACAGTTTATTTCATTGTCCATTAAATTGTCAATTGTTTTTGTCATTGACTGGTTAATCAGTTAGTCTTTAATGAAGTAATTGTGAGAAAACGTCTGCCAGCGTTATGCCCAAGTAGACGTCTTCAAATTGATTGTTTTGTCTGACCGACAGTCCAAAACAAAAGGAGATTTAATTTGAAGTGACATAAATCCGGGCAAAGCAGCAGATCTTCCCCCTTTGGAAGTCAGAATCATCTCGGCAATCCTGAATTGTGTTGTAGATTTGATCGTAAACATATGCAGATGTCTTCATTTTCTATGCGTACAGAATCTCCCATCAAGTCCTAAACTGAACAATCTAATGTGTGTCTTATCTATTTCAGTGTCATTTCAGATCGGATCAGTTCTTGTCAATGAACTTATTTGCAAAAATCCTTCTTTGGTTACTTCTCAAGGCTAAAAGCCAGAAATAAGGGATTAAAAAAAGATTTGGATTCAACAAGCAGATAAAAGATAAAAAGTGAACCCCCGCCCATGTAGGGCCTGTTCTATCGCTCCCTCGGGGTGATGCAATACACCAAGGAGCAGAAATGGAAACAGGCATATTTTTTCAATTAAAGCCCAGTCATTCAGGTCATGTGATTCTCGCACAGTCGTCGCTCGGCTCCTCTTGCCCCGATCGGGATGCATTTTGGCCCAAAAGTATCCTCCCCCTTTCCCCCGGGATCGCTTATCAAACCAGGCATGAGTGTAGGGGTCCGTGTGTTCCCCTGATTAGGTAACTCCGGTCCAAACAGTCACCAGTTAGTTGAACAGCTGGCACCTTGTTCCAGGGGCCACAGTGTGACATTAAGCATAAATGCCCTGTATACAGTGCCAGGGGGACATTAACAGACCCCTGAGTGTTTCTGTCCCCGCCCTTTGAACTTGTTTGCTTGAAATTCCCCTACGAGCGTGTAACACAGAGCTGTGACTGCTGGGCCCGGTAACAGTGGCTGCTCTGTGTGCGAGGGGCACACCGGGGGCCCCACCGCCGAGGTGCGGTGCTGGCACAGCTGGAATCCCTGAGTGACAGCTGAGCTGCCAAAGGCCCGCCGTCTCCCTGAAGCCCCTCAATAACGAAAGAAGAGCTCAGTCTCCTCTGTGTTCTCCAACCGTCACTGATACCTGGGTGTGGCGTGGCATGAATCACTACAGGTTCCCACTGTAGGCCTATTATTGGCAAAAGGTTACAGATGCAGTCATGTTGGGACCAGAGCCTTTGGCCGCCACCCAAGCCGCCCTCACAGTCAGACATATGCGTTCACACTATTCCTGAGATGTGGGTTAATAGAGCCACCGTCATGCAGATAACTAAGGTGGCAGATATCCTGATCATTTAAGTGTCACGGAAGAAGCATTGCAGCTGGAGAACCACCAGAGACTGCGGCGTGCGCACGGCTAAAGTGTGCAATGTGAAACATGCACGCGCGCGCACTGGAGGACAAATAGGACGCGTCATGGGTGCATAAGGGAGATTTCTTTTTCTTATTTTTTTTTTAAATAAATGCATAGACACACAGTGTTGGTTGTTCTTCTCCCTCGAAATTCTCAGGATCTCAAAACACACGCGCGCGCGCGCCGGAGACTTAACCCGTAATCTCATCAAACAAGTTGACTCAGTTCCCTTAAGAGCGCACCGGGCGAAGGACTCCGAGGCTGCACGGTTCTTACCCGGTTCGCACGGAATGCGGGTTTGTCCACACGAAGGTAGTGTCCCCCCCACCCCTCGGCTGAGCGGAGGTATGAGTTACATCCACGTCCAGCGGCGCAGGCTACGGGAATAACACCCAGAAGTCAAAGGGGAGCTCCGGGGTGGAGTTTTCAGGAGCTGCTCGGGCCGCAGAGGAGGCTTTCCGCGGTCGCCATGGCGGACGACTGAGTGAGAGAGAGAGTGCGCCGGGCTGAAGACGGGATTACACTGAAAACCGAGCGGGGGATCCACTCCCGGTGCCTTCTGCTGAGACAATGAAGGCGGTGCAGCACCTCCACCTTCTCGGCAACAAGGACAACAGCGCCATCCAGCGGTGTTTGCGCCGTAGCGCCGTTCATTCATTCGTGCGTCAAGCAGAAACACACTATACTCTAAAAAAATGTCACCGTAAATGAACGGGAACTTATTGGCAGCAGGGACGCCAGGAATTAACCGTTATTTTACGGTATAATACCATACATGGTTTTACACTATGTTACCGTAAAATGGATAACAGTAAATTGGCGTGAACTTTACAGACAATTCACGGTAAAATACTGGCAGCGGATGTACCATAGTATACGGTATGTTGCCGTATATTGGACTACAGTTTGTTACCATATGATTACTGTTTTTGTGTTACATGTAGAGTAATGTCCTGTAAGTCAAAGTCATCATCGTATCTCATGAGATGCTATCTCATTATGTTTTTTTTTTACGTGGCTGACATGGGCTTCCATATAGCCTATAACAGATGTAGATGGATTGTGATTCACTGCACTTTCCACCACTTCATAAAATATATGTAACATGCAGTTAATTTACAAGCAAGGGATGGAAATTTAACTGTGTTACAGTTATTATGACATGCAGTAAGATACCGTTAGAAATGCTCCGTAAATTTACAGCAATTTGTTACAATGTATGCATCAACTTCAGACCGCAAAGGAAATAAAGAGTATGGGATAAATCCTAATGCAGGATTTTAAAAAAAACAGTTAATGAAATGAAAAGTGGTTGATTCATCAAACCCTAATTGCTGTTGCATTTATCACATGTATATGTGCTGCTGCTCGTTACACCTCCAGCCAACGGTCCTTATGTATTGGAGAGAAGGGTAACACAAACAATCTGGATTGATTATTAGCACTGCAGGTAAAGGGAGAAATACGTGTTTTTGATCACATTAATCTGCAGTGCCTGGCAGTATAAATGCTCTTTTTGTTCCAGCCCTTCGCCGGAGCTAAATGTTTACACACTGAGTGTATTCACTTGCATCCTTTTGTTATTTATTCCAATTCTAATTGTTTTACTATAGATTTAAGAGGATACACTTATTTCCTCTCTTAAAAATTTTCTCTCAGCAACATTGGATCAGATTATTTCTAAGTATAAACATTCTAAGTATAAACAATAGAAATCACAGCATGTTAAGATGCTAAACATTTGTTGCAAATAAACGGGATGAATAGACAGACGCCTCTGGCTAATGTACACAGCTACATTTCAAATGCTGTCAAACAAGTACCTCCCTGGATTTAAACAGATAGGCTACTGCCTTATTTAGATTGAGTAAGCGGGAGGGTGTAATACTTTCTACACTGGCCCTCCCTGGCTCTTTGTGTAGTTTGTGTAACCTGTTTTTTGTCAGTACAGTAAGACAGGTTCAGCCACGCAGCACCTTCCGCTGGAGCTAAACAGACTTTTCTCTCTTGCAGTAAAGTTCCCTGGAATTTAGCCTAAATGAATTTCCATTCATGCCGTACATTTTTCTCCCCGTTTAGTTTGAGTTTGAGAGGGAGGACACAAAGCATGACTTGCCCTCTGTGAAGCAGGGGGGGCGGGGGGGGCATAAGACAACCCGAGTCCTTGCACTGCGTTCAGGGTCCACCGGAGGGTGCACATGAATGATAGGCAGCCGGCCCACGAGCCCACCGGGTCTTTCAAAGTTCAGACACATGACAGCATGAGATCGTTTAGAAAGTTCTCCCTCTCATGAATAGCCCTGTGTGTAACAACAGACAAGAGAGCTTCGACTCCAAGTAACTTCTAGACTGTTCCGCAGCTGATGCATCATAGAAGAAACTGACGACACGCCTAGCACGAGGATTGACAAAGTTTGAATGCTACAATGAACAAAATCCAGATATATTTGAATCCAGGTGTGGGCTAAGACACGTTTTAATTGGATGACGGACTGGGGTTTACCTTTAAAGAAGGGCCACATTTACAAGAATCACATTTAGGACCCGGCGTCTTGGTAATAACAAACCGGATATTATAGTTAAACGTTATTTAATCATCAAATGAACAAGTAAAACTTTCATGAATATTTTAAGAAATAATATGAATAAATGTTGTCTCTTTGAGTTTTTTTTTAATGCCACACACCACCAACATGTACTGGTTTATATTCTTTTATGGTCTGTTTTCATGGATAGCGGCCTCGGCTGGGACCAGTGCCTCCACATCGCCCACGCCTCCTTGTATGTAGCTGCGTTCAGGGACGGGGATAAAAGACCAGCAGTGTGTTGGAACGCTTGAACCAAACTCATGATTTGCTGCTCGCCCACACACCTCCTCGCTGGCGGTCTCCCACGCCTCGGTCTTGTGGGACTGAAGCGTCTCAGTGTCTTGGCAGCTTCGGAGGCCCCCTGGAGGCACTGATCTGGAACTCTGGCAAAGAGGAACATTTCAGCAAGAGCGTGAAAATGAGTTGAGGGCGGGAAGAAAAGGAAAGAAAGGGAAAAGCCGCCAAGAGACGATGCCGTTTTGGATTTGTTATGTAAGCAATTAAGATGGCGTGGCGTGGTGATCTCAGTTATGCAACAACAAACCACTTCACAAGTCAACACTGGAACACTTAGCGAAATCGTATCCTTGGAGTACTATTCTATTATAGTATACAGTATGAATGTCCTTCAGATCCCTGTATATGTAAACATTAACTCTAGAGCTCATCGATTCGTATCAGCTCCCCAGCATTTAGGCTTCCTGTTTTCTTCAACACTGTGTACTGTGTAGGTGAAGGGCTTGAACTGACGCCAACTCGCAGACTAAATTAATCTGCCCAAGAGGATAAATTACCTTCTTCGCCCCTATTAACCCATACTTACTCCCACTTACAATTTCCCGCTATGCTCGAATACAACCTATACAGATTGGCTGTTTGGTAAACTGATTTAAAAACATCTTATTTCTATTCCAAGACACAGTAATCGCAGAGCTTTTGAGGCCCTGGGCACTCGGGGTCTTTTAGATAAAATTGGCGAAAAACACAGAAACGCCCAACAGCTGTGGTCTGATGTTAAAACCCATCAATATCCTTGTGATGGTAGATTGCATGCCGGCTCCATCCCAGTGTTGGACACACCTTCCCCATCTTATTACTGCCTCCATTAGGTTTGCTCTTTAACGCCAGTTAGCTAATGATGCGTCTGCACTTCTACTCAAGCAAAACTCTTGAAACTACTGTTTCACGGGTGACGAAATAACCAGTTTCCTGTTATTTTGTATAGATTTTTATTATGCATTCCTGTTTTGCTAAACCTTTAAAAGGTTGCGTATCATTCAGTGGCCTATTCAACACAACAGCCACCTGAAACATATTCTTTTGCATTTCCACACAATATCCTTCCCTGAGGATGTATTCACCTTAACAATGAATAGAGGATGGAAATGAGGTTCCGGTTCTATTTTAATCTGCGCAGCAGCAGCAGCTGCATCTCCTGTCCTGTCATCGCTTCCAACCAACTCTGAATACCAGGTCATTAAAGCCAAAGCTGGACTTTTACATTTCTCCACCCCCACTATCCCAGTCAGTCTGGGGTCAGTCTGGAAACACACACACACACACACACACACACTAACTTGCCAATGCTCATTGTGTGACAGGCTGTATGTATATTATTAACAATTAAAACACACTTTATGTGTATTTCTTGTTGAGGCAGGAATCTGAAATCACAAACATTTGCCTTCCTTTTTATGTTGTTTCAATCACATCCCTGAGTAGTTTTTAACAGTCTTTTGATTTGAAGTGTGCACTCTTTGCTCCGTAAGCAGTTCCCATGAGGCCCTTTTCTAATCCGTTTTTCAAAACGAGACGAGGAAAGTGAGTGTAAGAGTTTAAAAGCCTCAAACGAGACCGTCTTAATGCCGGTGATGAGACCTTTTATGTCTTGGGTGTTTCTCCAGTGTTCGGCAACAGAAGCAGCTCTGACATCCCTGAAATGTTTGAGCAGGGTGGAGAAGTTGTTACAGCTCATCAGGCAGAGGGAGGGAATCTGTTCAGCACAGAGAAGAAAACATCCAAGACTGAAGAATGAGGCTTCCTCCTGTTAGACATAAGCGCTGCGAGCTCCTGCTGAGTCCTCCACCTCTACACAGGAAGAGAGCCAGCACGAGGAGGCCTCATTACCTGCTCTATTGCTATATGTATAAGAGTAATTAAGTATATGAAGGCGGGAGGATTTATCACTGTGACAATTCCGTTTGGATGAATTAGACTAGAATCATTTCCTGTTAAGATTCTCTGCCTGACTTCATTCAGATGGTTATAAAATACATTTAGTCAGATTGGTAGATGAGTGTCTGTACAGGTGGTTTGTTGCTGTCATGAGGATGAAACTACCATTTGTTTTGGAGCTGCTCGGAGCGTGCAGCGTTTTTATCGGCCATTGTTGGGACGGTCTCTGGTATCTGTAGTAAGCACATACAAGCACACCCAGGAGTCACATCATTCGGAGCATTTGCATAGGTGGAAATCTGCCAAACCAACTTTACCTGAACCTCTATCCCTGCCTGTGTCAGTTTTGTTTAATTTGTTTGTTGTTGAATTGGCTTTTCGTTGTTGTCTCTTTTGTATGCAGCCTATAACTAATCATGTAAAGGGCTTAGTTTACTTTGTCCAGATGTGCTGTTGATTGTTGTTATTTGTATCATATTGCGACGAGTAAATGCTAATCAGAAAAGTTCAATAAAAAATAAAAAATAGTTTAGTACAGGTACACTGCCTCGCCATGTTGCCTGGTGTTTTTTTGTTTTAGCCCGGGAATGTGAATGTTTTGTCTTGTACCAAGCGTAAGAATACACCAAATCCTTCAGCTGTTAACATAAATCCATGGAATTAGGACATCGATGTATGATTTTACAAGACTACGTGATAGCGACAGATGGTGTAGATTTAGTAGGCGGAGTCTGTGAGAAGTTCACCACAATGGTCAAGAGAAAGTAGCAGGAACGAATACAGAAATGTGTCCCAGGGTGAATCTGCATGAAAAAGCTTTTCTCCATCCCCACAGGATTGCTCTCAAAATGTGTTTTTCCCTTTCAAGGTAATCAGGTGGGAAATAAAACAACTGTTTAAATAAAATGCTTGTGTTTTGTTGGGTTTTTAAATAGGACTGGAATAAACAACACTACTAGGGAGCACTGAATTAAAAATAACTGTCCCCAAATTAAAATATACATCGACTTGTTCTATTATCGGGGTGCCATGGGTCCTCTGCCACGCGATGCGCCTATTTTAATGAACACGTTGAGCAAAGATGCACCGTTTCAAATACAAAACTTTTTTCCTAAAGGTAAGTAAAAATAAAAAATAATCATGTCTCACCCATCACCAGTTGTGTCAAGATTTCTCTGCGATGGAATAAATATAAGATCAGTAGAATATTCACTGCGAAAGTACAAATACCTTAATGTAAAAATACTCCATTTCAACTGAGAGACGATCGATCAACATTCTACATCAAACTAATGTTTGACATCTGAAATATGCTTCCCCTCCTTCCTGCCAGGAGTTAGACTCTGCTGAATAAATCTAGTGAAGTGAAGGGAAGTGGAATAAAGTAACACAAAATACAAATACTCATGTTGAGGTATCTGTTGCCATCCAAACACAAGAAGAGTAAACACAATTTTTAACTACTTTCGTCGAAAGAAATGACCTACATTTGCATATCCGGAGACCTCTTGTGGTTACTGATAATATTGAGTTATTTAGGTGAACTCACCCTTTAATGTCCGATAATGGTGACATGGATGAGGACATAAACACATGGAGGAATTTGCCCGTGTTGTTCACAGAGATCCTCCCCCACACGAGTACACTCCTCTGTTACAGCTGCAAATTAGACTGTGAAATTGACAACTCATGTGTTACCATCTGGTTGCCATGACACCTAGTTATTAGGCCCCCTCCTGCTCGTCGACATTGTTTTTCACATATAAGAAGGCACAAAACCTCAGAGGGGGGCCGGGGGAGAGTGTGGGCTGAGAACAGCTCGGCTGTCTCCAGTGGTGGCGACTTCTAACTGAGATACGGCACCGGCGACCCATAAATAACCCGCCACCATGTTCCCGGACAAATACTGCAATGCCTTTAGGGCGATTCGGACACACGCTCACACGTACGTAAATTGTTGTGTCTCACAGTGATTGTTCCTATTGTGAGATTTCTCCCTTCTACAACTCACGCTATTGGTTTGCACGATCACTCAGTGCTGCACAGGTAGAAAAGCCTCATTTCTACACATTTCAGCCCCCATTGCATTGAGCCTTTAATGCTCCACTGATCAATGGGACGATTAAAGCAATTTAGAGGCTCCTTTGTTCGGTCTGAGCATCGGAATCTCCTTCATCCTCCAAAACTGCTGAGCTGGCCGGGTATTCCTCTGCTCCCCGGGGCCTCATGAACTCACAGCCCCTGGATTAAAAGTGCACAGGGCAGACGTGGCATTTCTGCCGTGACCCGCCGTGTCCCACACAGACACCCCAGGGACCGAGCTGCAGTCTGGCAGCAATGGAGGGGGGTGGGGGGGGCTTGGGGTTGTGGCGTGACTCATGCAGCCCCCCCTCACCCTCCCCACCACCCCTTTCATCTTGACATTTGACACGCTGATGCGGAGGATGTCAGCTGAAACAAACCCGCTGTGCTGTGTCACACACGCCGTGTAGTCTGGACCTTCTGGGCGCCGCGGCTCGCAGATTCGAGAACAGGTACCGATGAGTCAGCGCCTATTGGGATCATTCACCCACGCTGATTTTGTTTTATTTTCCAGTCGGTTTCCCCGCTGGGAATTGAACGTTTTATGAGGCTATCGTTTAAAGTGCTTGTTTCTTCAACTCGGCAGGAGTGTACAGTGGCATTTTAAAAGGCCAAACGGACAAAGCCCTCCAAATTGGGCCGGTTCATGCAAAGAATCTGCTAATCCATTCTCATTAAACCTCGCTCGCCGGACAACGGACGACATGGAAGCGCTGCGCTCGACTGTGTGTTGCCACAAACACAAATTATGCTGCAGGAGAGTGAGGGATGCCAGAGGGGCTCTTGGTTCCTAATGAACCCCGCTGAGACGTCTCCCCATCAGCCCCTTTAGCCGCCTGTCCTGTCTCATCCGGTCGGTTAGAGGAGCTCAGCATCACGCGGTGCCGCTCTGCGCCGCCTCCACTTACTCAGAGTCCAAGGTGGACGTTGACAGGCGCCTCAGAGGCGATGCCCGCAGACACTTTTGCTGAATCTTTTAACTGCCTGATTCTCCCCGCGGGCAACTTCCACCCGGGCTTTTCAGAAGTCTCTAAAAAATGAGTTGTGAGGCTAATCGAGGAGTAAGGAAAACCCAAAACAAAGGGGAGTCAGTCTTTTTAATCAACTGTCCTTTTAATAGAGACAGAAAATAAATGTATTTTTTGTTGGCATCTCCCATGAGCCTTTGTTGAAGTAGGGCTTTCAAAGTCTGCTGGGAGCCGCGTTCGCTGAGCTGCGCTGATTGCCAACAAAACAGTTGTTTTATCTTTAGTACAAGCTATTGACAGAGACTACCCACTGCCTGATGTGCCACAATACATTAGATCAAAACACACGGGTATGTTCCACGAAGTGTGCAACGTTCCTCCCCGTCTGAATTACAAGGAAAAGAACAAAGTACAAATAGCCGCCGTGACATTTTTAACCCAAAAGCGGGATACGTTGGCCGAGTCAGGCTGCAGTGGCGCATTAGCAGCAGTGACCATGTTTGAACAATATGCACATATAGACGTTTATATTGTGATTATGTAGAATTACGAGTAAGAAAAGCAGAGGAAAAGAAGAAGAGTTTGACACACTTTTATTGTTTAAGGTGTCAAATGTAACAGTGTCACCATTCAGAGAGGGAATAAAGAGTAAATGGTCACATATAAAAAAATATAAAATCAACAATGAAAATGGTCACACGGGGAAAAGCCTGGTTCCCGTGGCGGCACAGATGTACGGTTGAGACGGCGTCCGGATCCAGACATGTATGTGTTTGGTTTGCACATTTTTACAGCCTATATTTATCTGAAACGACCAGAGTCCTGTTTCCGCTCACTGTCCACGCACACGGGTCCACTCGCGTTGAGTCGGTGTCTTCACAGGAGCTGGCACTTTCAATACAAAATATTTACACTACCATTTATTATAGTTATTCTCCCCCCCGCCACTATTTCTTACTACGGATTTGAATACTTTGAGCACACACAGAATGAGATTAGGATGTTGAAACTCTCGAGCACCCAGTTTCATATTGCTCCGTGGAGAGAAAAGAATACGTAAAGTATGACAAATGTTGGCAACTTCACTTTAAATGTCACCCATTCCTGAAAAAGGTCCGAGAGACATCGTCTGGAGAGATATTCAAAGACTGAACAGACTAAATCTCTGTCCCATCAGGAAGAAGCAGTAAACTCTATTACTACCCGGCAATCTGCTGCGAGAGTCTCCCAGGGGAACACGAAACATCACACGATATGTTAAAGACTCTGCTATTATATCTCAAAGCGAGAAAATAGGAAAGATATGACTGCACCAACGTGTCGCGAAAGACACTGACGTTTCTACCAGTTTCACTCCCAATTCTTTTTAACAACAGAAAGAAAATATATAAAGAAAAAGGAGGCGCTTTCGGGTCACCTCTTTGGTTCAGCCCTGTGATGAGTAGAAAAAACTCCATCCACCAATGCACACAATAAACTGATGTAAATCCTCATTATTATTTCAAAACAACGTGTTACCAGAAATCTGTTATTGACTGTGTACAGTAGCTACTTGAAAAACGCTTTGTTTAAAACCAGGAGAAACTTATGACGAATCATACAACAACCTAAAGAGTAAACGTCTCAATCTGTGATTGTTCGCTGATGATCTTCCCCCCTCGACTCTAAAGGACAAAAGACAAACCCGAACAACAGAGAGAGTAACATAAGGCGAGGGGCACGGTCCTTTTTTTTTTTCTTCCTCCATTCCAAATTCCTGGCATTCCTTGTTCAATGTGTATTCTTTGCTCACGTGTCTTTATTAATGAACCTGCCTCTGCAGATTTGATGCTCCGCAGAGTTCAAATCCATTGCGTTCAACCGTCTTAACTGGCATGTGCGAGTGTGCGCGGGACTCTCGGCGGGCCGGCGTAGTTTCCTGCGGGTTCCCTTGCGGCCCGGCCCGGCCCGGCCCGGCCCGGCCCGGCGGTCCCCCCTCCTCCCCCGGCGCTATTGTATAGTGCAAGAGGAGCAGCAAGGGTCGTCCTTGTCCGGCTGGGCGGCGTAGTCCATCTGCCGAACGATCTCGGCGAACAGTTCGTCCACCATGGTTTTGCTCTTGGCCGAGGTCTCCATGAAGGGGCACCCCCACTCCTCGGCCAGGGCCTGGCCTTCGCTGGACGACACCTCCCTCTCGCTTTCCAGGTCCACCTTGTTCCCCACCAGGATCACGGGAACCTTCTCGTACCTGAGGACAGACGCAAAACACACAATGGGGTGTTAGACAAACGTAAGAGCTACGAAGCAAAAGGTTTTTAGTTCGGTTATATTTTCACTGAACTGAATGGTTTTACAAGGACGCCGGGCTTTCAGAACTCGTGCCCTGATGCTTCAGAAGCTTAACTTTGCAACTCCGAGTAAAACCTTAATCTAAAAGACCTAAAATACAGTTATAGAACCCCATTGAAATTTGGCTCACTTCAAGCGAGGTAGGAAGTATTTCCAAAGGTGCAGGGAAACGTCAATGAGACATTTATGCCATCAAGCGAAGACTGGGTTGTGTCCCTTGTTACAGGCTAATATATAGACAAAAGTACTCATGCAGTCTGCACATATAATCCCACATACATACATATATGCATTTACTGTGCTTATTTCCAATCCCACTTTATAAAAAGGATTCCATAGTTTTTGTTAGTATTCTGAAACATGTCATGTTTAGGCCACTGTAAATAAGTATGCAGATGTATTTATAAGTACGACATTTTGACATAGTTTGTGTTTTCGGGTTTGTAATACACAACAGAAAAACTGCAGTTTTCTTTCTTCCGACTACATTTGTGGTAAAGCATGTAGTTGTATTTATAGACCGTTTTAACATGCATAGCATGTCTTTGCATGGCAGGCAATTTTATTTATGCATCGTATCAAATTACATCGTAAACTCGAGGTGCATCTGCACCGTTCTCTTTTGTTTATGCAGCACATTTCATTTGAAGGGTAGTGCCATCTCTGGGATTGATTCGGAGATAACTGAATAAACATCGACATATTACTCTGTTTATGTTACAGTAACTGCAAAGCAAAAAGGGTGATTTGATTGACAGTGAAAAATGCTGACCGCTGGACAGATGCTTCCAACGACAACAATTAAACTTCAGCTCTGAGGCGCTTAATCACCACAAAAAGGCACTAAATCATTTCAATGAATGGGTGATCGAAGCTTTTTATAAAAAAAAAAAAAAGTCATGAATATGAATAGCATAAAAAGAGGCAGGAATCATCTTATTAAGACCATATTCGAATATATAGTTACTATAATGAATGTGGCGCTGAGACAAATCAAGAGTCCTCCAAAAGGTTAACTGGGGTCTTCTAATTGGAACAACAAATGTCTGTGACATCACAATGGTACCGACAGCAGCACTTAGTGTATTTCAGATTACTTCAAGGGACACTGGCACACGCTCAGGGCCTCATTTGGGGGGTTTTGTCTGGCGCTTTAAGTTCTTTTTCACTTTCCACTACTTAACAGAAAACATTTTCTGGGCTTTCCCCATCGCAAGACCACTTGGTTTATTATTATTATTATTATTGTTAACACAGTATATATATATATTTGAATGCATGAGGAAATTAAATCCACCTCCCTAAACTCAACCTTCATTGTAGAATCTATGTGGGTTTTTTTTTTGTCAAGGACAATCTGTAAACAAATCAAAAGAGAAAAAGGCTGCAGAATGACATGACAAAGAGAAGATCTTTGGTCCGATTTACAATCCGACCGTCATCTTTCTGTGCAGTCGGATGAAGAAAAAAATTGTTTATTATAAACAGATGATGTGTGTGGTGATAAAGTCTGGACAGAGTCTTTGGTGCTTAGACTCTACAGGGAGATAATTGCGGGGCGTCTTCCCGTAGCAGCTAAACAGAGATAAACAGACGCTGGTGGTGGCGGCTGATGAGGGGGACAGAGCGACGACTTGGTGAATCAGATGAATGTGAAGAGGTGGTGGAGATCGGGAGGTGGAAGGGTGCGTACTGAATGTAATTGTGTCCTCGTGCCGGTGGACGGAGGAGACCTGCTGATCACAGCGGCTGATATGATTGACGGCCCCAAACAAAGACTTCAAGGAAATACTTTTTCAAAAAGGAGGAGGTTTTTCCACGTAAAGCACCAGGGACGCAACTTTTTACCCTTAACTGCCGCCGAGCCTCCTCCAGGTCTCGTAAAAGCACTCAATCTGAAGCCTGAGCCGGTAGAGAACAGGAAATGGCTCGTGGAACTCGGACCCCTGAGGGCCGGAAGTGGCCATAATCCTTTGATGCCACACTGCAGGGGCGCAGGATGTCCTCGTGGAGCTGCACCACTTAGCGGACGGCGGCGAAGGGACGAAACTCGCCTACTGCGCTGGACGGGAGGGCTCGGACAGTTTTGACAATATGATCACCACGTATTCTCAGACTTGTGAAATCATGGTATGAAAAGCGTCAAGACAGCGGGTCATGACCAACCACGTAAACAAGGCGTTGTTGTTATTTTTCATCCTCATCGGCCTGATCGTTTCTCAGGGGCCCCGAGGGAGCTGCAGGCTTCAGCGCCAAATGAGCTTAAACTCTCACAGGACACGGAGCCGGCTTTGATCTCAACGATCCCGTTCCGTCCCAAAGGTCGGCTCAGCGGCCCGAGGGGAACCGCCGGGGCGACAAATCTCACTGGTGGGTCGGTGTGTGTAACACAGTGCGCCGGGCTCATTTCACCTCAGAAGCCAAACCCGGGCCATCGTTTCCTTCAGAACTATTCCGGACGGCTTCTCTGTAGCGATGGGCCGATCCTGCCCTGAAGCCTGCATGGTAAAGAGAACCCTGGGCCAAGTCAAAACATTTATAGCAGTGATTGTTTTTTTAGAAGCCGCATTCTCAACAATGTTCTCATTGAAATGTGTCCAAACCTTTGACTGGTACCATGACTTTTTTGAAATGTATTGTTCTGTCCAAAGTAACAGAGCAGTTACAATTTTCTCTTAAAATAACTGAAAGCAAAGAAACAAGCAGCAGGAAGAAGCTCGCTCTTCTTTATGACCATAATGGGGGACCAGACTTGGTCAGCTACATGCATGTAATGTGGCTCGTTTCTGCCTCATCACAACCCGAGTGCAGCACAAAGACATCTGGTACCAAAGGACGGGATCTATATATAGTCATAATAACAGAGGAGGAAAGGGGGGGGCGGTCCCGGGAGGTGTGAGACAGCGGCTGCCACGGATACCGAGGCTCCCGGGGCCTCGACATCAAGGGTGTCGGCCAACGATGGCCCAGAACACAGAACTCATCCGGAGCCGCTTGACGACAAACAAAATAGCTGCTTGTGTTTGTGCCCCGTGACGTCCCGCGTCAGCTTTGGGCTTGTGAGGCTGACGGCGTCCCGCACTGCAGCTGTCTGACTGCAGACACCCATTCGGGGTGTTTCCCCAGACACTCTTTATCTATAATGCATGGTGCATCCTCTCACGTGGGCAGCGTCTGGAAAGAGGCTTGTGTGCTGCTGGGCCTCCTGTGGACGGCCCCTTCGACGGCCTCCGGGGTCGCCCAGTGAAAAGGGACATCAGCTGAGTCAGAGAGGAGCAATAAGCTCCTTTATTCTGGACAAAAAAAACCACCCAAAAAGTTCATCAAGAAGAGACATCTGGAAAATCTGGATTCTGCGTGAAATGTTTGGATTTTGGGGAAAAGGAAAAGAGAGACAACTGAAGGGTTACTTCATGAAGCCTTTCTTAGATTCTCTCGAGGTTGCGAGAAAAAGTTACATTCTCGTTTTCCTTCAAAAATGTAATATCGAGTTTCGACGGACTGTACAGGCACTTGGAGCTGAAGCACGGAGCACTAATATCTCCATTTGGTAATTATGTCTCAGGCAAATTCCTCCGCTTGACCTAAAATCTGAAACGCAGAGTGCCTCTGCATTGGAAATCTGTTCAGATTGCTTTTCCATAACGAGGAATGCGCTGAGTGGCTCATTCATAACTCTGCTGAGAACACACAACACACCGGTTACGACACCATCAGCCCAATGTGGGGAGATCCTACCGTCCTCATGTAGCTTCAGATTATTGTTAATGCCGACTCCACTAGCCGGATCGGGTCCTATTCAATTCAATTCTATGTTTACGTTGTTGCTGATATTTGGTGCAATGTCATCAGCATCTCAGCGAACGCTAATATTCTCTAATTAGGGCTTAACATGGGATTGTGGGAATGACATTAGTCGGCAGGTATTGAGTCAAACCTTTCCTTAAAAAATTGGCACTGAGAAACGACCCTCAAAGCACAGGTCAAAGGACAATCCATGCTAAGTGGGACGTAGTGGGACGTGTGTAAACCAGATTTAATGACATGATCCATCTCGTAGTTGTTCACACTTTGCACAACTAATCCAGAAGTTGTTGATATTTCTGATGTTATCTGGATCAAAGTGGGGAGTGAATTACCGGCCTGTCTGCTGGAGTGAGTTGATGTGAGCTTTGCTCCATTTATCTCTAAATTTCCCTTTTCAACTGAAAACTAAGAACTAAGAAACTATTTGAAATAAAAAATAGCTAGGAACACATACTTTTGAAAGTCAAGCCAAAAGTAACAATCACTGAACTTTGGCGGAGTTCTTTTGGGCCAGTTTTCACGCCAGACAGATGAAAGACGATCCTTCTGGGAGTCTGCTGCAACTCCGGGTACTGATCTTTGGTCCTTTTAACCACTTGGCACCTCAACAAGCCTCCGGACGAGAACTCCAGTTCGTGAACCTCGGTACAACGTTGAAGGCAGTAGCTTCCTTTTTCAACAGTCACCTCATCGTGTCACCTGACCGATCCCCGTACACACCTGGTGCGCAGTGAGCCGCAGCCACCGATGCCGCAGAGAGCGACGCACGGCCGCCCCGCCGACCGGAGACGAGGAGGGACCGACGCGCCGGAGAGGCTGTGATACCGTGTGACTTTTCCCTAATTCATAGAGAGAGACGGCTTAAATAACGTCCGTCGAAAGACAGAAGCTTTTAATAGCAGAAACCTTTTGTGTGTCGTTTTGAAAAGGCGTCAAACAAACAGAAGAATCAGAATTCATCTTTAAAGCATGAACATGATCTTTAAATGAAATGTTTTGTTTTAGTTGTTTTCGCAATGGCAATAAGGAGGATGCCGAGGCCTTTAAACACCACGTCTAAGAAATGACTCCATTCATCTCTCCTTTGGAACAAATAAAGAGGATCTTTGTGAATAAACACATAATTATAATAAAACAGAATCTGTCCTAAAAGACATTAAACTAAAGACCCCTGATCTGCTATGTGAAACTGCACATCTAAAGTTTGAACCGAAGCGTAGGACTGAACCCGTGTGTAGGAGTAATATCTGAAGTGTTGTTTTTGCATCAGAAAATAGATTCTGACATTAGAGAGACTCCGTGTGAAATAACATCCACATATTAAAAGGCAAACACATCACGTATTACGCACACGCCGAACATCCCGCTCTACATTCTCAACACCTAGAGAGCGGAGGGACGGGGGGGGGACACGTTGACCCCATTCTTTCATCTGGAGCCACATATTTATGGGATTGTTTGGAAGATGCAACGTGCACAGACGAAGGGAAACTAACAAAAAAACAACATTTTTTAGAAGGGACAATATTTTCCTTTAGGTTACAGAAAGGACAATAACTTGTCAGAACAGAGATAGAAATGCAGCACTGGAGCATGGAATGACTGCGCTGTCCGCGTGCTAATCGGTATCTCCAGTAATTAGCTGTATCGGTGAACAGCACGAGCCTTCAAGCCGCACTGCTTAAAAAAACAGGCTCCATCATTAGAGCAGCCGCGTCTCCGTGGACGGACTGCGCTGACTGCAGCACGTCCTCTGACACCCGCGGTGACCGATGAACGCACAACGCAGTGCCAACGGCCCCACCATCCATCATCGACCTTCTCAGTGGCTTAAGACCATTCATGACCCTTCCCTGGGTGGACGGACGGCAAAGGGACGCCGCGTCTTTACAGTGCAATGGCCCAGAATAAAAAATTAAAAAAAAGAAGAAATACTTAGGTGACCTCACATCTGGATCCTCTGTGTAGACAATTGAAACCTCCGGGCAGGGAGGAAGCCCATGTGGTTCACGGGGGGAGGTAGGCTCCGGCACAGCGGGTGTTCAGCCCGGGAGGATCACAGGAGGTGCGTGGGGGGCGCCTTCGCCCCCCCGCGGTGGGGGGGGGGTAAGAGAGGGGCTTCAGCTGTATCCCCCCCCCCCCCTCTTGAGATGAAATGGTGTAGAAACAGTGAAAAGTTTGCAGAGGCGCAGAGGAGACGAGGCTCGTCTCTTATTATAGGAGATTTGGGAGCACTTGGCTTTTCGGGGCTGCTGGGTCTGCAGTGAACCCGGCACGCCAAAACACAGCAAGCAGGTCACGTGTGTGTGTGTGTGTGTGTGTGTGTGTGGGGTCCGGCCTGAAGATGCTCAACGTCCCTCCATTCTAGCATAGTTCTCAGACCAGACCGAGGCCCACATCTTAAACGACAGGGCCTGATGCAGAATTACACCCAGTAACAATCTGGACATTGTGACATATTCCCTGCGTGTTGGTTTCCACCCACCTTTTCACTCTGATGATCTGATCCCTCATCGGCTTGATGTCCTGGAAGCTCTGCTGGTTGACCAGGCTGTAGACCAGGATGAACCCTTGACCATTTTTGATGTAAAGGTCCCGCATGGAGGCGAACTGCTCGGTGCCGGCGGTGTCGAGGATCTCCAGCACGGAGGGCGAGGAGTCCACCTCGATCTCCTTGCGGTAGAAATCCTCTATGGTGGGGTCGTACTTCTCGATGAAAGTCCCAGTGACGAACTGCACGGTGAGGGCGGACTTTCCGACCCCACCGCTGCCCAGCACCACCACCTTGTACTCGCGCATCGCGGATTAAATCGAGTCGCAGGGCGTCGAATGTCCGCGCACGAAATCACTTGACGATCCGCGGTCGCATCGTTGAACGGGCGCTCGATAACGCGGCGCGGGTCGCCCCCCCGCTGGGCTCGGCTACGACAGAGCACAAAGACTCGGTGCCCCGGTGATGGATTTCATTGTATAGACCCCCCCCCAACCACCACCGTGCGGGCCAGACACCGACTGCTACACGGGCATCACCAGAATGCGATTGTCCATTAGGAAGGAGATGTCGCGCGGTGATGCGGTGCGTGCGTGGTTTTCATCTGCCTAAACGCACCGCTCACTGTGCATCAGGAAGAAAATAAGGGAAAACACACACGCGCGCACGCACACAAACTTGCTCCATCGAGGGCAGAGGAGAAACACTGGCTCAGCCCCCCGGGAATGAAGTGCAGACGCGGTCGTTGCAGCCGGACGCCGCCGCGGGGGAAGCAGCGCTGACGAGGAGGATTTTCTCCGCTTAATTAAAGGACTTGCGTCGCTTTGTTTTCTTTTTCAGCGTCTCCGTTACGTCTCCCTCCTCTCCGGCGCGTTCACAGCCGCCATACCCTCGGCTGTGGAAACCCGTGGCCGCTGCGTAACCGACTGGTCCCTGCTCGGCTTCCGTACCAAGGCAGTAAAAAAAAATAACCCAGAAAGACCCGCCCTCCCGCAGACGGACGTGGCAGCGGTCCAATGGGAGGCCTCCGCTGCTTTTAGATCCTCTCACATGGCCGGAGGGGAGCTGCGCGGAGCCGCAACCAGTCACATTCAGCGGGAGCATTTCCGTTCATGTGTTAAAATTCCCATCATTCGGTTGCCCCGGTGACATCCAGGGAGAGCTCGTCCAATCACGGCGGCGGCCGGAGGATGTGTATCCAGGAGGAGGTAAAAATGCAAAGGATGCTGTTGCTATGGTAACACTGCACTTTGTTGTTTCTGCCCACATTTGAGAATGCTGTTGAAAGATACCAATAAAGGTGATGTACGGAATTATTTATTGATATGTACCAATGCGGATCACGTTACCGAGACATATTTGCGGTTTGGAAAAACAGTGAATGTCACTGCACTGTATCTATGGTCTATTCCATGCAATACAATTTTATGAGGTTTTATTTTTTAATATTTACCCTCTACGATTCATTTTTCATTCTATTAGAAATTGTTCTGACATTTCTTGCCCATGTAGAGCACTTTTCCTAATTGCTTAATGTTATAAATAAAGCAGCATAGTTAGCAATGCGCAGCAAAATTCTAATTTCAGGAGACTCAATATACCGATAGATAACTAATGAAAAAAATAATAAAACGTACCACTTTGATTTTAGGGTCTTTTAAAGACTGCAGTTTGAATTCTGTAAAAAAATAAATGTTAAAACAAAAGAGCTCCAAGCAAAGCATTTAATTGACATTTATTTATTTGCAATATTAGATATTACACCATTTGGATTTTACAGGAGCAGAACTATCAACATGAAATGTTTAATTATACACAAATAAAATAATTTTCCAAAGTATGTTAAAAAAAAGAAGAGGGGACAGTTTATATTCAGGACCAGATTAAAAGTAATGACACCAGCATATTTTACTATGTGATATATATTTCAACAAGCAACGTAGCCAGTCCCATCAGGAGAGCTTTGGGGTATATTTTACAAACTGTCAATTTGGCCTCAAACTCAAAACTTATCTAGCAATAATTTCACAGGGAAGCTGAGTTAAACATATTTTTACTTATTAGACAATATATAACTAATAATTACTAGAGAAATAAAATTTTAAAAAAAAACAGGAATAGATTAAAGATAAGGCAAAGTTCACAAAAAGCATGTCTTCTCAGTCTGACGGTTGAGAAAGTGCTTAAGTCAGTCTGACCAAACATTCTTGCTGTCCACATCTATTTGACTGGGTGATCCGAATCTCAAACAACTTCCATGTGCAGATGTTCCGTGACATTCAAGCGTATTTGCCAAAAGGTGAAACAAACACTCTGTGCTATGCCTTTCATTCGCAGATATAATAAATACGGGAAAACATGTCATTGAATCTAATAATAACTTTAACTTTGAAAGCAATCATATTATGAAAAGAGAATTTAATTTCAATCAGATGTCAAACCATAAACTCCAGATCATCTGACTGCAGACTCTCCAAGGGTGGATTATATGTTTGCTGCAAGATGCTGACATGCAGTGGTGCCCATATAAAACACACAATTTACATTTCAATATATATATATATATATATATATATATATATATAGATATATATATATATATATTCTCATGCACTGGATCACTTACAGTGTTTCACCATGGCATTATAAAGTCAAATATCTGACAGAACAATCTAATGTGTTTTGTGAGGAGGAAAAACAACTTTGTCCCACCCACAAAGATTGTTTTAATCACTGCGACTTCAGATTGCCTCAACATCACAATTAAATGACAAACTATTATTACGCTATTATGAAAGTTACTTTTCCGTAAAATGTGGCCTGTACAATGCACTTTTGTACATAAAAAGCAATTCCATGGCCTTGCTCAGACAAAGGCTGTCGTCCCTCACAGGTGACAAGGCAGTGACAGGGATGAAATATGTTCAGCTTCTCTTTGCTCCGACATTAGATCCCTGGACACAAGACGGCTTATCGTAGGCTAATACAACAGATCAAGGCCCTTTGAGGAACCTCCAGCAGAGCTAAAGTCAGTTTAATAAATTACATTCATCATAAAATAGAAGAGATTACATTTTAAAAGTGTTCTTTTCTAATGTTGAACTATTAACATATGCAAGTATACTCCTTATATTCCAACCAATAGTGTATGAAACTTCTCACGACAAATCAAGAAAAAAACTAAGTGAACAGATGAAATATCTCTTGGTGGATTGTCTGAGTTAAAAAGTGTACACATGCATACACACACACACACACACACCCACACACACACACACACACACACACACACACACACACACACACACACACACACACACACACTTTCATAAAAAAAAGGAAAAGACATCATAAACATAAATCAAAAGGTTGATGTCTGCACGAGCCGTTTTCCGAACAGCACAACTAAAACTCTCTGTATAAGAGAACATTTGTGAGGGATTTACATCCGTCTTGAACATCGGTTTTGTTTTTTACCCAAGCAGACACAATACCCAGTCCGTCTGCTGTCCTTTTCAAACAAAGTAGGGTCATTGCATAATGTGTTATCAACCAAACACAACTTAACTTTGCTAAACCTTAACCTCTTTAAGCTCTACTTTACTACATTAAGTATTTAAGTGTGCATGAAGCACTTATCATCTTAGTGGACCTGATGAAATGAAGCTGGATAATAACTCTCATTTATCGTACACACATACAGACTTGAACGTCAGTGAAAAATGAATTGGCAAATGCACTAACAAAGCATTGCAAAAAACTTCTTTTAAATGAGACTTAAGTAGAGTAAATTTAACGTGGTGATTTTTCACACAAAGCCTTTTAAATGTGCACGGATATCCTCATCTGTACGATTCTTCAGGCACTTATAACATTCAAATATTACAGTACTGACAACTGATTGTAACATTAAGACTAACAGTTCACACACTACTCAACTCATCCCTTATACGATTACAGGAGCTCTAGTTTCAACACAAACAGTAGTAATTGAATACCCATTTTGTTGAGGTGACTTGAATGGCTCTTCCCAAAAACACGTTGAAGCACAAGCTGGTTTCACAAAGAAGCTCCATACGGCGCTAATTTTGACATATGGAAGTTGGACCGTCTCACAAAAATCAAGTTGGGCTTATTTTGAACCTACTAAGGGGGGTATTTCCATGGTAACAATCAGTGGCACCTGCTGACCAGTGGCACCAAAGAGGGGGATATTATGGCTCATCATTTATGGTTTTCTTACAATGTTGTGAAGCGAGTAATGAGAAAGGAACGAGATTTTAAAGAACAAAGTAACCGGTTTTAAATTTGGCTGAACAGAGCCTGAGGGATGCAGAGGCCACAGCCCAGCTATGCTGCAGGTCTGCACACGGCCAACATCTTATACTACTGGGTTGTATTTTCCCCTTGTACAGAGTCCTTGTTTCATTGTTTTACACCAGACAGATTGATGAGGTGTCAGGAATATGTCCCGCTTAAGATCATTTTTGAACTGGACCTCTGAAACATCTTAAATATGAGTATTGATGCGACCTAAACCAAAGTCTATCTTTGTGAAACTGGCTCCAGAAGTCGAAACCATTTACATACATATCAACAAGTCAACCGTGACCGATAATCCAATTTCTAATTATTTATTTCTCTTTTTTTGCCAATAAAGAGAAGGAAATCTAAGTGTTTGAATTGTTGTTGCTGTACTGACTTGAAAAAAAAGTATGTGCAGCAAATGGATCGTTCAGTATGTTGACTTGGCAAACATGCTGTATGTGCAATGCAAAGGCACACCAGGAGGTGGAGGACTGATCCTGTTCTCTGAGGCTGACAGGGTAAACAATACAGATGCACTAACCTAACAACATTTAAAAGGAAACTATAGTTTACAATGTGGTGTTTTAATAATTAGAGAGTTAAAGCTGGCACTAGATAAACAATCATTCCTAAAAGCATTTTTACATTACACATTCAAGAAAGGAAAGTAAGTTGCCGCTCAATATCTTGAGGGTACAATTTGAACAACCTCTCATACAGGTCTTTTTTTATCAACTGGTCTCAATATGGTTTGTAGATTTCCTCTCTCCTACTCCTCTCTTCCTCTGAAATAACTACACAATCCTAATCTGACAGTGGACGATATTTCTGTTTGTTTCCATGTTGTTAATTGTTTAATTTCTATACGTTTCCTGGTTGTGTTTGTTCAGAGAAAACAACCTTAATGAATGAGGTTGTAGACACTTTGCGTTTATACCGATTAAGAAGCTCGACGCTCTCAGAACTGTTTTGGAAAGGAAAACCAGGATATTGTGCAGGTCACTGATGATGCATGTTAACGCAGGCGCAAAGCTGCGTGCATACAATGAGCTTCTGCAACACGTCTATAACACAGTATAATCCAAGTCATTGAGCCACGCAGTTTAGTGTGAGGGATCGAAGTAATGTCTTCAACTTGTTCGTCGGGGTTATCAGCATGCAGCTTGTTGTAAGTTGTGTCTGGTGTTAACAGAATATTTACAGAGCAGTTGTTTGGCGTCTTTAACAGCAGCAACGCGGCACAGACCTCCGTCCCTGGTGGTTACTTGAGGACGATCTGTATTGGGAGCAAAACACGGCACGCTTAGTTGTGATGGGTGTACAATGGATCAAATGAATGTAAACAAAGGTTAAAGAATACGGCTAAAAAAAACACTGCATCAGATAACACTGGATAACTTTACTGCAAGTTGAAGTCACATTTGCAGCTGAAGATAGCAAAATATAAATAATACATATTAAAGTGAAATATGACACAGATTATACAACACGCAACGTAACATCCACAGTCCTGAAAGAACTCTTGTTGCAGGTTCCTTTATAAAAAATGAACTCTACTAGGAAAGTACATTTTGAATAAAGATCATAGAACCATTCGTAAAAATATGAACTAATTAATACAATCAGAATGAGAGGCACCAAAGCTAATATTTTGTTCAATTATTCCCATGACATTTTGAACTGCATATTGAGTAAAGACAAAGACACTGAGATGGATGCAAGCCACTATTTCCAGATGGCAGACCTCTTAATGCGTGTAGTGTAAAGCCATCAGCAAAAGGGCTGAGATGCAGTCTAATTCAACTGATGGGCTACAGGTAGATGAAGCTGAACGGGAAGCAATGCAAGCAGGGAAAGGCTACTTGGATGAAGCGACTCCCTTGATTTAAAGATGAAGCACTTATTTAGAGCTCAAGGATTCGGAGAAGAAAGCTTTAAAAAGGAGCAAACCTGATTGGCTGGAGCTGGCGCTGTTGCTGCGTAGGGGACACTTGTGGCGTGAGTAGGTGCTGCAGTAGCAGGCGTAGCACTGTACATCATGGGCACTTTTTCAGGAAAGGAACCATGAAAGCAATGAAAAGGGAGGGGGAGCATTATGGTAACCATAGCAATGTGCTTCTTTCTCTTGCCAGGCAAATACAATATGACATTAGCAGGAAGCCATCATTGGGTTAGACCAGCAGATGGCATGTGATCACACAGCATAGCGAGACAGCAGGGGAGAATGTAAAAGGAGAGCCAATAGGAGGTAACATTAGGAAATCTGTCCATAATTTGACATCCCAAAAGGAGACAGATTTTACACTGAAGCCATCAGACATGATCAAAGTGTCTTTAGATGTATTTGGGGTGCTTTAATAATGTATAAAGACCGTAAAGTAAATGTCAGGGATGCTGATCAAATTTCCTAATCCATGGTGCGGGGTAATTCTGCAAAATCCAGGTGACCTTACATTTTTATATTCTGATGGACTACCTGCAGTGATGCTGGAGGAAGGATTCTAGATATATTACAATAAAATGTATCGTTAAACCAAAAAAGCACAAACATGCAACAATCATTCCCGCAGATCATTTCAAATGTGGTTTTAATGCTTTCCTCGATTGACCCTTATTCCGTTTTTTTTGCTTTCCTGGACTGGAATGACCAAAGTTCCCGATCACTATAAAAAAAAGCTTCACACTTAATCTACATACATAATGATAAACAAGGAGAGGACCTACCAATGCCGTTATTGGGAGTCATGCAGAAGACAGAACCTGTGGGGTTATCAAATGGACAGAGGCTGTAATTTGGCGTGACTGACACATATCAATGCGTTGACACGGGACAGTAATGACACACGGAATCCACACTAGGCACGAAGAGCTCACCTGCCGGGTAGAATGCAGCAGCGGGCTGCTGCAGCTGCGTGTTGGCCAGAGCCTGTTGGTAGTGCAAAAAACTGGGGCTGAGGAGAGAGCTGGCCCAGCCGCTCTTCTCAAAAGCCGGTCTCTTTGGTAGGGATACGCTGTAGGGATAGGCCTGAAAGCAAACGAGAGAAGACATGACACACCAGACGGTCCCTGCTCTCTCTCTCTTGAGCTATGCTCTACGTTGACACTTAATATTTAGAATTCATTTACAAAAATATGGATAGAAAAAAAGAGAGAAAAAAAACGGCAAACACAACTACACAATAAAGGTGATTGTTATCACGTAGCGGAGAAATCAAGCATGTTTTAGGATACATATATGAATGGAATAACCAAAAACATCAAACTTAAAAAGAATCTATCAAATTAAGCATTTTAGGCTACTAATGAAGACTGTGTACACAAAGACTACATGAGAAGAAGCTTTAAATCACAATGGCAAAAATGGAAAGTTATTACAGTACAATTAATAGCTACAACCAAAGCAAAAGGTGAAAATACCAGGTCTACAGTTGCCTCGAGGGATCGCTTCATTGCTTTGGCAGTCGACTGAGTCTTTTAATAGCAGGCAGCGAGCACATGATGGCAGTGGGCCAATGGGGTTCAAGCGTTTAACATACAGGTAACAGCAAGCAGAGGTGCGTCATGGGGGACAGCATTGTGGATAGGTGAGAAGGGGAAAACAAAAACAAAATAATCTGAATGTAGTATACAACATAAAACACAATATTCATGCACAGTAACCAAAATAAGCAAGTAAAAGACACACTAAGTAAAGACTTCTTCATTAGTAGATCAACATGTACAGTTACGCAATAGCTTTGGCAACACAGATCCGCAATGACCTGACATCTTGTACTTGTTTTATGCTGCATATTCATCAGTATTATATATCAATATTACTCTTTATCCTCGGCTAATTGGAATCCAAACACTACCACTTACATGATGCAATCAGTGCAGTATACACACACGACATATATCATTTTGAATATATACACAGATTTTACAACACGTTCAGGAAGCATTAACAACGTAATCAAGACCGGAGCGTTCCAATAGTTTGTTCTATTTTGGTTTTATAAGTGATGGCCAAAGGCAACATCACAAATAAAACACCAGAAATGTATGCAATGTCATGACACACAGAATGCGGAGCTGCATTTACTAAAATCCAAATGGGGTTTTGGGGGGGACGTGATTGAGTTTAAAATACATCTTAATCTTACATTAAATAAAAGTTTAATGTAAATGTATAAAAAGAGGAGGTTTATTAAGTGTGACATATGTCACATGGCATATTGAAAATATATACACCTTTTTATTTTAATATAATGTTAAAACTGGATCCAAACCCAGAAATGTTAAAAGTATTGTGAGAAATGATTAACGTGAAACTGTCAAGTCGGTACATCGGACATTGCAGACAACTTTGCTCTCTTTGCCGTTCTGATGATTCCCACTTTAAAGCTTGTACACCATATAAACGTGTCTAACCAGCCGCTTCTCAGTTAACTGCATCGTAGCAACGCTTCTGTCTGTGAGGAGCCCGGTGCGTGTGCCAACTTAGAAAATGTGCATCTTTTCATTGGGGCTGTTAAAGAGCACTAGCCTCAAAATGTCAGCAACGAACAAAGCTCCATCATAACAATCAAAAGAGCGAGACACCTCCGAATTGTGATTGACAAGCCTTTTACTAGTTAGTTGACAGCAACTACCAAAATGACCTTATCCTTGTGATCTACGCTCATAACCACACGTCGGGTACATTTTAAGGGGACGCTATAGCGCTTTATCAACTGTGCCATTATAGTTAATGCAAATGTAGTGCTCCACATTCAGTGATGTCATGGCAAACACAAGGACGCCAAAGAACACCGTATCACTGGCAACACAAACTAAGTACTAAGTAAGGCTCTGTCTTACCATGCCTGCGGCTGCGGCCTGGGCGGCCATGGCTGCGTGGCTGCCTTGCTGTTGACTAGACTTGATCTTGGCCTGCAAGTGTGCAGGCGGGTGAAAATACTTGCACTTCTCCCTGGAGCAGCGGCTCTTGATGTAGTCCATGCAGACGGTGACGGTGTTGTCCGTGGTGTCGATCATGGGGCTGTCACTGGGGTGAGCAAAGCGGCAGTCCGTCTCCCCTCTCGCACAGCTGCCGCGCTGAAACTCGCGGCACACCTGAGGGAGGGGCGAGCGCGGAGCACTGTGACAAGAGCTCAGCAGGAACCCCCCCTCCCCCGAAAACCACTGGTGCACTTTTGTCACGTTTAAAAGCGCTGCTCGTTGTGCGTGCATACCTCCAGTTTGTCCGTGCGTTGCAGCTTCTGTGAGGGAGAGGAAGAGGAAGAGGAAGAGGAGGAAGAGGAGTTCTGCACCGTGACGCTTGGGTTCCCGGACACCAGAACCGAGGCGTTGGAGAGGTTGTCCGCTTGGATGAGGCTCATTCCGTGACTCAAAGGTGTCATGTATGAGCCGTAGCCGAGACCGGTATTTGCGCCCAGTCCCTGTGTAACATGAAATGTCGGCTATGAGGGAAAACGCAATATATTACAAGTGAGACAAGCACACAAAAACACTAGCAGAAGTCTCTCCCCGGTGGCTGTACGGCGCTTACCACAGACTGCAGGCTGGGCCCCGGGATCATCAGCTGCATCTGTTGGGCGAGCACGGCCGCTGCCGTCTTCTGGTGGATGAGGTTGTTGCGCCCATTTATCTCCAACTGGGTTTTTAAGTGTGAAGGTGGGTGAAGATACTTGCAGTTTTCTCTTGAGCATCGGCCCTGTATTCAGGGGAAAAGGGCATAAACAACACTTCATTGCAGGAGGGGGATTGTAGTATTCCTTTAAAGAATTCCTTTAAAGACGCTTGATGTTTCCTATCATGAAATGATTTGTGTCCTTTGAAACAGTGGCTTTAATTATCGGTCCACAACAAGATGAAGCATCCTTTCGCAGCATGAAAGCCAGTTGTGAGGCATCAATCCATCACATCAAAATCCACAACTGACCTTCTTAACTACATTATTATAAAATGCATATTGGCACTTAAAAGTTAGATTTGGATGAAGATGATGCACCAATAAATATGTGACAGACGGGGCTTTAAGGAGCACGATGGTCCAATGGGAATCCCATGATGATTCGCTTTATATCTTAACAGCCTAGTTATTAAGCATAAGTATTATCCTCTGATTTTAGACTATAAATTGAGCCTAGCAATATCATTTCTGTCAATCAAGCCCTGCATTAGAATAATACGAGGCTAGTTTCCCTTGAGGCTTATATTCAAATCAAGTTCACAAATTTAGTATCATTTGCATTTCTCCCAAGAGATTTAGATTAATTACATTCAGTGAATATCCACGTAGGCTGAACCGCCATCATTGCTTCATTAGTCTGGATATAGCTGAGAAAATAAAGTGCCAAGCGGAAGTACTCGCCCCCTTTTAATGTCAAATGTTTCATTGTTATACAACTTTATAGATGCTTTGTGAGTACGAGATGGAAGTGAGCCTCGAGTATTACGCTGGTATAAAGGTTCCTCAAGTTGGTGAACAACAGGACGCTCGCCTGCTTTAATGGATGTCATGGGGTTCTGGTCACAATAGCAAAGCACGCGCACAATCTGTAGAACAACGTTAACTCGGTTAGGAGTATTGATGATTGAGCCGAGCACTTTACAGCAGTTGTTTTGACCCAGAATTAATTACACGTCAATAAAATGCCATTGGACGAGGCAAAACGACAAAGTATGCATAAACAGCGCTTGTTGGGGGACGTAACCTTGGGAAGGACTTGAGCGGCATGTTTGTCTTCTTAATAAATAAACACTAAGGGGGAGGAACAGCTAATGAGTAAGTACAAGTTGACATTATACCAGGAGACATGCTGGGAACAGACATTTGTTGACTCCTCAGACAAAAGCCCATTCATAAAGACGTGAAGCTTCATGCAACATCACATCACATGACTCCATCAACTGAGAGCTGAACGCTAATTCACAATCTCGCAAAAGACTAGTTTTCTTCTAGGTTATCCTGCATTCTGAAAATATGATGAAATCATGATTGATATATTATAAATAATTCACTGACTGGCCTCAATGGGGATTCAACATCACTAAAGTTGTATGATGTGCAGTCCACATCTTAGTCAAAACATTATGACAGCAACGTTGACAAAAATCAATAAATGTTGTCTTATTTGTGTTGAAACCAGGCCCGACCTCCGTCGCACACAGAAGGCTCTGTGCTGCACACGAGCCGTGCATCAAGTGCCTTCAGTTAGGAGATAAGACGATGACTCAACAGCAGTAGAATCCAGGGTGCAGAGCTGCATTGTGTGGTGCTAGTGAACGTGTGAGCCTGGATTAAGGCAGCCGCGGACTCATTCAACGCAACTGAGCAAACTGTAGAATATGTCTGCAATCCAACATCTGACATTTGCCCCTTGATTAATCCAGAATATTCTAAAGTGTAAGAATTCATTTTTGATTTGCCATAACACAACAGCGGAACCACCCACTCAGGGACGCAGGAATGAGATAAGATAAGCGGGTAAAACATGGAAGAATACGCATGAGGGTGTGCAGTGTTTCCTACCTTCAGTGAGTCAAAGCAGGCAACAACTCTCCCATTGTCAACTTGGCAGCTCTTCGGCGGATGAGCGAATTTGCATTCCTCATCACTGCGTGAACAGTTTCCTCGCTGAAACTGCCGACAGACTTCCAGAGTTAGCCATTTTGTGTCTCTCACAGAAGAAATGTTCAACGCCATGACCAAAGGTTATAAGCATATATTGGGTTTTTTTTATTTAATCTACTGTGGCTCGTACACCAAAGGCTGCAGGTTGTCTTTATGCGCAATGTCCCCTTTTAAAACGCCCTGGCGAGTCCTCCATCAGCTGGAGCAGAACGATCGGACGGCTGGCCACTAAATGACAAATCACCCATCAAAGGGAGAGGGGACCCACGTGAAGACGCGTTGGGTTTCTGACACATTCAAGAGTGTCCTCCACAAAGACTGGCGCCCTTAAATAGCGGACGAGTGAGGGAAATCTAATTAGGACTTGTCACTTTAGTCGTACATTCTCATGTCATTAGTATCTGGTCTCTTGTACTGTGGCTCTATTTCAGCGTTTTGAGGTGCTGCTGCTGCTGTTCAGGACGGAGGTTTCCTGCGATGCTGCTCGGGTCTGTCCTCAAAGAAAGCAAAGGCCGGCAACACAGGCGGACCCACTTCAAGTCGAGGCTACGTTCTGGAAGGCACTTTTTGTCGGGGATCTGAAAGACAAAAAGCATGTATATTACAGAATTTGTAAAGAAGAAAAATATGGCGCAGTACAGAGCTATATGGCGCAGTACAGAGCTACCATAATAACGGGTCACTTCTCGTGTGCTTTCTTCTATTTAAAGGAGACGGATTGGAACTGAATTGAATAAAGAGCCACCACAGTTTCTCTGGTTCCAGCTTCTCAGACGCGATCTTTGTCTCTTTGATATCACTGTCAACAGAGGGTTCGGACTGGTGGTTACACAAAAACAGAATCTCTCGAAGGCATCATCTTGGAGTTTGGGATCCTGTAATGGACATTAAACATTAAAAATGACTTACGGATTAATCGAAAATGAAAATGCTTGTGGCAGCTCTAAGCAGACAAGAACTGACATGTCAAACACCAACGGCAAACTGGGAATAAGAAAATGATAAGAGAGGAATGCGTTTAAGAGGAGCCACAGCTTTTAGACCGCAGCAGCCAATATTTAAATTTGATGAACAAAACTACCAAACCTACTAGCAGTCCGGGTTTTGGAAACTACGGCTTCATACAGACACATGCTATCAACTGCTAGGTTTCCTGGTTGGTAAAGTGAACAACCTTATATCTATCGTACCACTCAATTCTGTGTCTGAATCCACATTATTTCCTCGTCCTGTTGGTCAGTCAGTCATCCTGTTTTTATTTTGTTTGCCCCGTGTCAGCACAAACATCTTACGGTGAACATCTATAGAGGTTTTCCAGCCTGATGTTGCCAATGATGGCTCCCGCCGTGCCCCATCAACAAATATGAACAATGTCAACGACATTAGAAACACAATGCCACAGCTGCTAGTCCGGAATGTGTAGCTAACGGGTCTGAAGGTAATCAATCAGTCGATAGCAGTACAGCATGTAAACATTTTCAAAGCTCCACGTCCACAGGGCCGTAAAATAAATGATACGTTGTCACACTTGACACAAGATATTTTGGTGAGCGATATGCACCATAAAAAAGACAAAACAATGGAAATTAGATTTCATCCTAAAACACATATAAATTCAGTTCTGCCCACTTTAACCTTTTTGCATGTTACGGTGTAACTGCCTATTTGTCAATAGACAAGGGCTACGTGCAAAATTGCTACCATCAGATATGCGGAATCTTCGGCCACCAGAGCACACAGAGAACAGAAGGCGAGCGAGATCGAGCTTAAACACACAACGCATTTGGCTTCAAACACAAAACTGGATCGTCCGACTGCTAAAGCACACAGGAAGTTGCTCAGCAGGCAGTAAAAAGGTGCTTATTTTGTGAGCAGAATGCATATTTTCAAGGGTTTCTCCGCAGGGAGTGAGCAAAAGGGTTTACATGTGTGCAAACAAACAAACATAAATGTTCTGTTGTTTACCCAGATCTTCTGCTACAGCAGCCGCTCGGCTTTACTGCATGCTGTACCACAGCATACTGCAGCAAATTCCTTTGGGCGCAAGTCAGGAAGCAGAGCAAGAAAAAACCTACTTCCCTACTTCTGGTAGCATTTAAGAACTTCTCTTCCGGACCAAGAATGTAGGTAAGAGATCCAACTCGTGAGCAGCGGACCTCTTCACATAACAACCACAACAGCGGCTCTAAACCCCGTCTTCTGTTCCACGGATCCAGTGAGCCAAGACTTTCTCTTCACAACAGTAAAAATCTGCCTGTCCAACTCTGGCAGAAACATTTCCAGCCCCCCCCCCCTTCCTGTCTGGGGGCCAACCCCCAGGAAGACCCGCCCACTCAGGAGTCGGCCAATAGGAAGCAGGAGCTGGTGCACTGTTTGTTCACGGCTTGGAGCGAGACACTGCTGGCAAGTTGACCCTTTAGAATGAAATGTAATTAGTTAAGAAGAGACTGCATCACGTCTTATAGTGTAGGCACATTAAATTGTACACTTGGTAACACGACACAATCCTTCTACGCGAATAAGACCACGTGCAGAGCACTTGTTTTACAACTAAGTGAGTACAATCTATGTAATACAGGTCCTATGTTGTAAGCTTTTGGTGATTCATGGTTATTAATAACTCCAAAAACAGTCCCAGTACGTTTCTATTTCATTTTGTAGATCTCCTTAATAAGAAAAGTTTCCCAAATGGTTTTGTTACAGATATGAAAGGACATCCAATTTATTGTTATTTACTGACAAACTGGAGCTTTCGCCATTAGATTTACTGTTGTATTATCATATTTCTTCCAAAGTAGGCAATATCACACATGTTAAATGTACTTTCTCATGCAACGCAGCTTACCCACCATACTCAATGTGATACTGTATTTCACGCCCAAAGATCCTGCCAACCCCCTTAATAACAGTGTTAATCCAAGATCATTCACCTCAATTTAGCAAAGATGCACACATGATTCATTCAGTTCCCACGCACACTGACTTCTAAGTACTTTGTAACTCAAAAAAGGAAATTTCATTTGAAATCCAGAATGACAATTCCCAAGATGACAAGCTAATGTATCCTACTGCACTTAGCAGGGATTAACCTCCTGTTGCACAGCTGACTTTTTGTTGGTTGTCTTTTAAAATGTCCAACAGAAGGCAACTTCAAATGTTTATTTCAGTGTATTTGTGACACCTGCTGCCACGCTCGGTTCGCTTGAAAGCGGGTTATTTCCCATCTAACCGAATTTTAAAGTGTATTTCTTTATCGCTTTAAATCGTTGGTGCAGGGTTGATGTGCGAATCTCACGGAAAAAGGAGAAGCGTGAATTTCGATCGTCTGATAATGGATGTCCCGCCCAATACCACGCTACTGTAACGTTATGTAACTTACTGTGCAAATGACGTTTCGTCTCTCAATAAAACAAATAGCAAGAAAACACAATAGCGCGCCGATGACCGCCGGCCAGATTTAACGTCCCCCCGCCGTCGTCGTGTACAGTTTGGTGACGTTACTTGGAGGTGACGGGAAGTCTCTGATTTGCATTATCATCCTCGGGCTACCTTAGCTAGCTAAATCACAAACACCTAGCTGGCATTGCTAAGGACAACCTGCGCCGCGGCGGGGGGGCTCAGCAGATCTGAAGAACGTTACATGCTAGCTTCACCGTTCGTTAGCCGTCGTTAGCCGAGGAGCGCACCTGCTTACCTCATCATCGCGGACCAACCGCTCTCCCGGAGGAAACGGCGAATCACGCACCAGCTAGGACGGGACCACACGGCAGCCCGACCTGCGCTAAACGTCAACGACAACAAGATGTCAAGTGCTTCCGAAATGTCCGCTCAACAGCCCGTTGAATGTGTTTCCCTGTTCATGTAATTGTAGCTTGTTATTTCGACCTCGTTCCTTCTTTACTTTACTCTAGCGCTGCACAGATTTAAGCTAAGCAACAAGCTTTTGACAGCTTACAGTACGACCGTCAGTTTAATGTGAGGACGCTGTTTCTCTGGGGTGAGTTGATACGGATAGAGGTTATCTGTAGTGTAACATACAACGTTTAAAGTAGAGAACATCGAATAAAATATTAAGTTAACTTGTAAATACATACGGTTTATTTTAACGTCGTCCTCTTTTGGTTAATATAGACCATTCTATAACTTGTTCTGCCCTAACGTCCCCCCCCGGAGCAGAAAAGTGGTACGATCCAAACGAATGCCAGTAGACTGAAAGGGTAAGGGTTTGCTTGTTACCAAGGCAACAGCAAAAAAAACTTGCGTTTTTCTGGATCAGTTTAATGAGAACACGCTTTCACGCACAAATACAATCATCAAATGAAAGATTCATATTAATATGGATTTGTCAAATTTAATGGGTTGTAAATGGTGTTTCCATTAATTTGCTTTAATTAGTGATGAAGTAACCCATGTTTCGTGAAGGGCGTTGTGTACAAATAATTGGTATTATAAATACATAAAAACAAAGGCTTTTTAAGAGTTCTATTGATAAAGCTTTGATATAATCTGTGTAAGAAGCAAAGCAGCTTTCCCGTTTCATGGGTCTGCTCAAGGTCAAACGAGATGGATGCTAACCCGGATAAGATCAGTCAGAGCGGGTGAGGGGGAGGGAGACAGCGGTAGGAAGATATTCTAGTATGTTTGATAGCTTATTCTCCAATAACCATGAAAACAACATAGAGACCTGCTGTCTTATCTGTGCTAGACTTCACAAAGAATGAAGTCATAAGAAATGGCTATTTTATCTCCTCATTCATTTTCTAATAAATTGGTAGGCCAGTAAATTTAAAGTTGTACTATATGTGAGTATGAACCATTTGTCTGAACACATCAAAACACAGAAAAAGATTAGCAGCCTGTAATTGTATAGTGTGACAGTGATGGTAATGCTCCACCTAATTACTATTCATACAGCAGATGATGTGTGCGGATGAAGGTGTTAGGCGGAGCAAATGCCTTGCTATGTAACTGAAAAATATGAAAACTTCACGGTGAGTATGTGAGAAACTTTGTTTGTTCAGGGAGGGATAGGGGACTTAATCAATGTCAAATATTGATTTTTACTGTTGTGACCTTTGTAAATGTAACATTTCACCCATACATTTAATAAAATATTTAGTAATTGTTGCTCATAAACTAGTTGTGACAAATTTATTAATTACTTTCCTATTATATTTCTCTTGAACAGACGATATTAATCTGACCTGCCATAATGACGATTACTTAAAAAGCCGGAGATGGCATCAAGTTCCACAGGAAAAGGTCACCATATTTATTGCTTCCTTTGAGGGAAATGTCACTGTCAAAATTACTCAGGTATCATGATTTAATTCATTCATTTGTAACTCTGTTATTTGCACTAAATTAGTTATTTTGATTTGAATGTCACATTAGCAAAATTAAACTGCAGTGAGGGTAAACATACACTTCCGATATAAATATATCACTCTGTCAACTTGCTTAAGTTGAAATGCTAGTTAAGTCACAGCTAGTTAACAGGGAGAAAACGGGGAAATACTGTCATGACACTGCTGATAAAAGAGATACCGTTTACTGTCACCAGATAAGATCTCTTTTTCATAAGATTTGATCGAGTTTTTTTCCCTTTAATCCAGTTTAAAGTATTTCTCTTTCACACCAGGTGAATGAAATGAACTACTCCTGATGTCCTTTGCTTGTAAACGTTTTATTAATCTCAAGCAGAACACAATGTGACATAATTCCATTGTCCAGAGCAATATTCCCATTTAGTGGTAAAAATGGTAAAAAAAGCAAAGATAAACTGATGCTTGAGAATACGAGAGAGGCGCATTTCATCTTCCATTCCATCTAATCTTTATTAATGAAAAATGTCACACGGTAAACCGGGTGTTTCTCGATTGTTTATAGGAGTTAACAGCCAGTAAAACATTCAGGGGAAACAGGAAAAGCAGCAATTGTGTCACACGGCCCGTAGATGTCAGCCTTCTCCCAAATATGCTTTCACAGATTTACACAGCTAGAGGTCAACGAGGGGTGCGGACTGGTCCAGAGACACAGTAGTGGGCAAGTCTGACTGATGGTTATGCCACGTGGGTAAATAGATGACCTGCATGTTAAAATGAAGGTCACTATTAATATTCACAGTTTAGTTTGCACTGTTGCCTGATCTGACCAAATCTACAAGCAACCCAATTCATGTGAATATCACATTATCACATTTTTTAAAGGTTTGTCGTTTTTTGGAATTGCTATGCATGCTGACATTGTTGTAATTCTCGGATGTACACAGAGTGATAATCAGAAGTTCACCAAGTTAACTCAATATGTCACTGAGGCCCTTTGCTTTATTGGTAAATGGAAATGTATTTTTCTGGCAATATTGTTGGACCTCCTAATAAGATCCTAAACCCTAAACCTCCTTCCTAAATCAGTGGTGTAATATACATTAAATAATACTTAAATTATAAGTATTACAAATGTAATTTATTTGAGTTGAAATAAATTGAAATAATACAACAGTTCGAGAATATAACACTGTGCTTATCTTTAATTAGGCCTGATGACATCACCAGACACCTGCTTACTTTGTTATTTCTTCACATTGGAGGAAATGACTTTATTCAGAAGAATACGCTCAGTAATTGTGTATCTCTGGCTATTTCTGTGTCTAGACGTTTGTCCTGTGGAGCTCCCTGACTCACTGCAAGATGAAAAACTGTCCGCAATGGAGTCTTGCAGGAGGTTGTGTCTGTCTTCTGATTGGTTGACAGACACTATTACAGTAAATTGCAGTCGAGTATAATTAAGGAATAAATCTCTTTGCAACATCACGTAGTTGCACTGTGACTGTTACACTCCCTACTCATATACAGTAAAACCTACTTTAAAGTCAGACAGAAGTTCTTACAAAACACACAAGAACCAAAATGAATTCATGCGCGGTAGATATCAAGTTTGAGAATATAAAAACAACACACATTATGATGTCATGGCCATTCAATGCGTTTATTTCAGATATCTTAAGCAGAAGTCACTTGTTTTTTTTCAGGTCTGAAAAAAGGCAGATTAAATATTACACGCCAAAAGGATTTTAGACTGTTAATTTCATCACAAGACTTTAAACATGTACATAGAAATTCTTACATTAAGAAAGCTCTCTTCCGTTGAAACTGAGGTGTTGGTAATACTGGTATTTTCCATCAGACAAAGCCAATTATTCAGCAATGATTTAAATTATATAAAGAAATAAGAATAAATACAGATAGATCTGATTCTCAGACACGAAGTGGCAGTACAAGTTCATTAAAATGCTCCAAACTAAGAGGCATTTCATTCTTTTCTGGGAAGGTCAGCAAAGTCCCCCCCTCATCACTTTATTTACACCGTATTTTAACTTTTACAATTTCAAAATTGATGGAAATTCTTTTAGGACACCTTGTAGTGAAAACAATTATTAAGAAGTCACAGAAAAGCAAAGCAATGGATGCACAATTAATTCCTTTAATTGGTCTTCCTCTTTTTTGGCATCTAACCACATGAACAACATTCAATGTAGGGACTTTGTTTTCAACGTTCCACATGGTAAGCTCATTGAGGAAATCGTCGCACGTACATTTTTGGGGTTCGCATCATTCATACCTTTCAAACCCGAGTGTGGTCTTTGAAGCAAAGTAACTCTCGGAGCGAACAGACCTCCGCTGTGAGCCTCAGAGCGTGAGCGTGCCCTCCATCTGGCCTGGTCGGCTGCAACGTCAACCGAGCAGTTTCACCAGCGGAAACAGAACGAGGGACTTTTCTTAGCTTGCTCTGCTCCCCACTCACATCCCACTCCCAACTATGAACAGTGCGTGGAGCAGAGTCCTCTCTCCTTCTCTCTCACTCTGTCAAATGTAAAAATAACAACCTTGACTTGTGAGTGATGCCTCTGAGCTTTGTCTCTATTAAAAGAACCGCCTGACCCGAGCATCGCTCCGCAGTTAGCATCACCATGGCAACCATTAATTGCAGGTGGTACCACACAGCTGGGAGAAATGTGCTAATTACAGTTCTCGTCTGAACTCCGTGGTGTCACAGTAGCATTATTACGCCCCAGAACTTTCATTTTAAGATTTTTAACTTTCCCATTCGCTGCTCTACCTCCCCGGTTGAGCCGCTGTAGACACTGCGTCTCAAGCGTTAAGACAGCGAATAAATGTTGGGTTTATATAATGTAACCTGGGTGTATAGCACATTTACAACAAGTGTTTCATTAATAGCTATACAGCACCTCTACTGCTCATGCTGTGCTCATGCCATCTGTCACAGGGGAACATTGTCATTCCTACAGCTTGTCACGCCGCAGTGCTGCGTGTTGGTTTATTAAAAGACTTTTCCAAAATAAACGGCCATTTGGCAAGCCATTTTCAAAAGAAATTTTCCCTGTAAAATAGCTATATCGAATAAAGTGACAATGCCATATCATTTATGTGTTGTCTTTTTTTCCACAGCAGACTGAAGAAGCTGTATGGAATTCATGTGTTTACCAGCCATGACAGCTCAAAATGCCTTTACTAAAAATGACAAACACAAAACGAATTATCCTGCGTTCACTTTTACTTAAAGGTCCTTTAAACACATTTTATTTAATAATCTTAATAGCATAAGCAACGGGGTCACACCTACTTTTATGAATTAATTTGACTTAATACGATTTGAATTGCTTAAATGTTGTGTTTTAACACTAATGTCTTGGTATTTCCACATAAATCTCATCATACCAAAACCCAAATTCTAACCCCCCAAAATATATTTTCCTACAAACCGCAGATTGTTTTTATGTAGTCATACATATCTAATGTCATATAGCATGATTTAGCATTAAGCATAATATATCAATTAGATTTTATATGATTGGACTATTATTAATGATCCAAATACATTTATTCATTTATTTGCAATTTAACAAGCATCAAAAGCTGCATCTAACCTTGCTTTAAAAAGCCTTTAAAATGTATCAAGTAGCACAATAAAAATAAAAATGAGGCTATATTATTCAAGCTGATACCTTTGAAAGGATTTATCACTAATCTATTTACTACAACACAACGTTTATTAATTCAATTATGAATTCTGAAACGATTCAATGTTCAAAGCTCTCTCTCCCTTTGAAACACTTGGGGTTTTATCAATGTGCTATACACCTACAGTCTTTGTTCTTATCCAGCCATCCACATCCTCCTCATGCACCAGTACAACTCTGAGCAGCTTAACCCTGAATTCATTCAACACATTCACTGCACGAGCTACATGAATCATTCAAACTAGACGACACACGCAGGTGATTCTTAAAGACGAAATAAAACTGTGCCCTCTGAGGTATTTTATAATGTATGTAACTGCAGTCACAGACAATTAGTGAACATCTAATTTGATAAGCAGGGATTCTGAGTGAACTGGAGATGGGAGGAATAAAAAGCATCACTGAGGCCCATTTGAGCAGATAAAAACGAGCCCTCTTTCATCTTCACGTAATGCCACACTGATTGGGTTTGAAGGACTGGAAACTATCGGGCAAAAGAAACGACAGGCACGCTTTTTTTTCTTTTGAAACCCGCTTTGAGGCACCGGTCTGTTGGCTGGTGCTGCGCCGGCATTACAGCGCTCCCATTGCCAACAGTGCAGCCGCAGTCAGCTCTACAAACACGTAAAAGCAGCCAGTGTGACGGGCAGGGGCGTGGGAGCTGAATGCCAATTATCTCATTCCCAGCCAGGACGTACACCGGCCCCACGGACACATTTCATCACCGATGCTAATTAGCAACTTTTAGGCTCTGCAACCCACTGCTTCGAAAAATGAAGTACTCACAAAATATGCTTTTTTTTCAGACCTAAATGTCTGTGCCATTAGCGCTGTGTGTACTTTTTGGGAGACGGGTTAAAATCTGCAAAGCACTGCATTTCAGAAAATGGCGTATACTGGACTGTAACCTAAATACAAGCATCAAACATCTTCCATGATTTCATTTACAACATGCATGCAAACAGCATGGTCTCTCTAGCGAGGGTTTCATTGTCATTGAATTATATTGGTCTCGTTAACTTTGGCTTAAAGTGTGACATGCAACCACCCGTTCCTCTACAATTACATCACTCAGAGGGTTTTCTACCAGTTGCAACAAAGGCTTCAAAGAACGTTCATCGCTTTTGCTTTGAGTGTCAGAATTAAAAGCGCAGCAGTCCGCGGCAGCTTCTTTTGATTTGTTTTTTTCCTTCTTCTTCTTCGTCCACCTCAGTTCACTGTCTATTAACGAAAGGCCAAAGTGAAATGTCCAAAAAAAAAAAGAAAAAGTATGATCAGCATTTAAAGATTTAAGACACCAAAGGGCACTCCAAGGCAGAGCTGCTGTGAGACTCACAGACTTGGCAGTTTTCACAAAGAAACAGCAGAGCACTCGGATCAGACTGAAGCTGAGAAACGGACAGATGCAGGAGACAGATTAATGGTGAGCGAAAAAAAGAGAGACCGGATGTGAGAGCGAGAGATAGAGAGAGAGAGAGAGAGAGAGAGAGAGAGAGAGAGAGAGAGAGTCAAAGGTTCTAAGTGAAGTCTACCACTCTCTCTCTCTCTCTCTCTGGGGACTAAATCCTCACCAACGGACCACTTGGCTTGTGTAGTCCTCAGTGGTGGTGGGGGAGTCCCCCTCGCTCCCTTTCTCCGGCCCTCCCCCCCTTCTCCCACCCCAGCCTCCTGCCCCTCTGTGTTTGGGCGACCACGGCCTGCCCTGCTCCTTCCGCTCCCTCAGCCAGCGCCTCTCCTCGCGCCGCTTCAAGCGCACCTCCTGGTGCTCCCGCTGGCGGGTGAACTGGAAACGCTGGAGGAACAGGTCCTTCGCGTACTCGTACAGCTGCACGTCCAAATAGTTGAGCTCCTCGATGCGCCGGCGCACGGGCTCGCTCAGGTCCACGTTGGCGGCCCGCGTGCTGTTGATCTGCGTGAAAGCGGCGATGAAGCGCAGGCTGAACGTCCGCTCGAACAGGTACTGCGTCTTGCGCTGGAACTCGGTCAGGCCGTAGAAAGCCATGTTCTTCAGGTTGCTCATGGCGCTGCTCAGGAGGATGTGGTTGCGCTGGCTGTCGTTGATGGAGGACAGGTTGTAGCAGCCCACCAGGCTGAGGTCGGCCAGCATGCGCACCTGCCGGTTGTTGGCGAGGTTGGACGGGCAGTTCATGAAGTCTGTCAGGGTCACGCCGGACCAGTCGTCCCCGCTGTAGCAGGTGGGCAGCTCGTCCTGGGTGGGCGAGCGCCCGTCGCACATATGGAGGGCGGTCTTCCAGGTGGCGCCGCGCTGGACGTGCTTCCACTCGCTCAGGTAGCGGGAGACCGGGTCTCGCAGCATGGTGATGTAGTAGAAGTTCCTGCGGCCAAGAAACAAACAGAGTTAGAGAGCTGCGGGCGCGTGGTCATCGCATTGTGCCGACAGATGGTGACTTTGGTCTGTGCGCGAAACTTAATTCCGGGGGGTTGAATGTTAATTGGCCAAATGAAAATCTCAACAGTGAGATTATTACAGGTTTCAACCTGATTCTACTAAAGGGAACACCAAGCGTTTTCATTCCACAGAATTCGCCCAGCTGCCAACGAGGAATAATTGGGAATCAAGACAAATAGACATACAGAAAGTGAGTCCAACTGACCCAAGTAAATCCCTAACCTGTCACTGCTTCAAAATAACGAGGTTTCAGCAATGGTGCCTCAAAATTCTTGTACTTTTAACTGGATATTGCACCAATCATTTGTCACCAATCATAGCAGTTAGAGGAGAAAACACTGGCATTCTCGTGGAAAATGGTTGCTTTTCTTTTTCAAACAACCCCCCCCCTCTAGAGTATGACTGTATTTCATAGTTTCAAAAGGACAGTCACTGAACAAGGAAGCGTAATAGATTCATACGTTTCTGTGAGTGTCAAGAAAGGGAAAATCCATATTCAGGAGTCTAATAAATCTATTTGGAGGAGAGAGCAAAACAACAACAAAAAAGCCAAAGGCCAAATATTACAATCACATTTGATTATGGAGTTGTTATTTAGTTTTAGCCTGAAGGCCCACACACAAGGTATTGTCTCTCTGCCGTTAATGCCACAGTTAAAGACCTCCAAAGACATCCACGCAGCATCTGGGCTTCAATCCGCCCACCATTCTCTGTCAAAGTGCACTCTGATGGAAAACAAATGTTGGACAGGTGTTGGCCAGGTAAACCTTTCCTCGGGGGATGTCTTGTGAGTGCAATGTGAATTTTTAATGACGTAACCCTTTTCCCCAGAGAACAGGGCGGGCAGATAAAGTGGAACGTGGCCCTGAGATTTCGCCCCGACTCCATAGCTGCTCTCGGTGCTGCTTCACTTTTTTGCTGCACAACAAACATCCACGCGGTTTCTCCCAGGAGTGGAGCTAAAAGAGTTACACAAACACTCTCCTGTGCTTACACTTTATTGTCCTTCAGGCTTGGATTCACACACACGTCATACAGGGTATATTTAAGGGGGAACACATGGTTTGCTTGGACTCAAATGTGTATTCACAACTACTTGTTATATTATTGTCCCAATCAGGAATCAGGAAACATTTATTACCAAAATATGCCAAACATACAAGGAATTTGTCTTGGCGGTTAGTGCGCGACAGTAGACAGACAAGACAGCAGTGCAGAAGTAATAAAATAAAGTAAAATGAAATGTTAATGCAATGGGTTAGTAGAATAAGGCTATGGGTTAGTATAAAACAAGGGAATAAAGTTAAAAATGTTAAATATTAAAAAAGTTAAAAAGAAAAATATTAAGCATAAAGTGCACTAACGAACAAGTAACAAAGTGACGAGTGACGACAAAGTGATGAATTGCAGTTAAAGTGACATGTGCAGTGTGAAGGGGAGTGACCGGTGGAATGTTATAGTCAGTCAAAAAGCTACGTTATTTATTTCTAAGCTAAACCTTTTGACTATGAGGTGCAAAGTTTCACTGTGACAGCGACTGAGTTGAGATACGTAAACATGCTTTCACTTCTGGTAAGCGGGGTTCAATTCCAGCTGTTTGAGTAGTCGTAGGCCCAGAAAACTGAATTAATGCTTTTATTTGTGCCTTACATTCCGCCTAATTGAGCAGAATCAAACTATTTCTCTAATACCAATTCAAAATTGCCCGAGGCCAAACCCCAAAACAGAACGCGAGTTTATCACTGAGAGAATGATAATCTGCGTCAAGTGCATGATGATGACACTGAATACTGGAAAATAATTGAGGGTATGCAAGTTCACAAATAGCATCTTTACTATATCCGACTATAAAAAAACACAGGAATGACGACGATATGCCACGAGTTTCTCCTACGGGGCTACAGGAACGCTGCCGCTGACATAATTACCCGACATGAGTCAGGCAAGACGCTGGGATTACAGCCCTGGTGGCAGCAGCTGCATCCTGGCACTTGTTCCTGGAGTCGGCTGGCATCAAATACGTCCTCATTACACTGTCTCTGGGACGTAAACAAACACGCCGAGTGTTTGAGCGCACTTGACGTCCCAAAGGTCAGTTGTATGCACCATCGCTGTGAAAATGCAGCAGAATCAGTGGGTCTGCAGATCTGTCTCAGGGAGTCGTCCCTCCCCCCTGGAGTGATACAGATGGCTGTCTAAGGTCTGTGTGTGGGGGAAGAGTGGTCCCCCTTTTACAGTCAATTCATACTCAACATCAAAAGTACTGGGAAAAAGTTCCAGTACAGTAGTAAACAGATTTAGACATCCTAAATATGTACTGACGCATCCGCTGGACCGACCTGATTTGAAAAGCGCGTTTGGTTCAAGGTGTTTCCCTCTATTTTCCAGATCAAGTCTTAAACATCAAGCTAAAAGAAGGATGCATCAGTAAAACAGAAATAACCTGCACCAAGTGACAGAGACAATTCACACGCATGTTTATGAAATGCCACTTTGCGTGTGTACACTGTTGTGGAAATATATGAGATCCTCCTTCCCCCCCTGTTAGAGAAAACACTTGATTAGGTGTGTTCATCAACACCAGCTGTAACACTGTGGTTTATATTTCACATGCCAGCGGTGATGCTGTTGCAGAACCAAAACCCTCCAGTTGTGTTCACTTTTACTGGTGGACTAATATTTGCAGGTGGGGGATTTGGCCCCATGTACCCTACTGAAATGACCCTGTAGAACTCTAGTTAATCATGGATCAATAATGGATAGGAGACATATTGGAACTCATTCCACCCTAGAATACTTATCTGTAATGCAGCAGCACCATCAGAACAATATCCCTGGAGCACAAACCAAACAGAGGTCATTGAGCAGAAATACAAGAGGAATTTAAAAGTGTGCATCAAAATGGGAACTAAAGCAAGCAATGGCGAGGGGAGCGGAGGACGGAGCTACAACAGACTATAATGTGAATTATAAATAATAGACTTTGTCCTTGGCTAAACTATTTGAGGGCTCTCCTTTGAGAAAAAAAATCAAAACATAGACCAAACATTATCAAAGAATACATGTCTACTCTCAGCAGGATTTTAATGCTCACACCAGAAAACTGCAGAGAGAAAGTATACCCAGGAGTCAAGAACGTCGGCATGCATAGACAAAACAATTGATTGTGCTGGACTGCATTCACCCACAATGTGATGCACAAAAGATTAGAAGGCACTAATCACAGCTGGAAAACATCCAAACTAATTGCAGATGGTAATGAAACTGTCCATCAGTACGCACATTATAGCGTTCTGAAGTCACAGTCAGAATTGCATTCATTAAAAGATTTTAGTATGTTTGTTACCTGCATATTAACTGATGAAAGCGTATACAATGATGACGAGGACATAACAGAAATCTGCACAGTTCCAATGTAGAGGAACACAGCGTCAACAGCCATGCTGTCGGCTCCACATGTTAAGCTAAATGCTAATGCTAACTCAGATTGACAATGCATTGGTTTCAATTGTTGTTGCTTTTGTGGTTTCTGTTTTTACCATTTAAAGTGCCTTTGATACAGGATCAAATTTGATCTGATAGTGGCGCTGAAGTGGAAAAATCCGAGAACCAGGTTTAATTTATTCCTGTTGTTCTTTTGTATTCTATTGTTCTCATTCGCGGACGTCAAACACCCGACAGCTCGTCATGCGTCAACCAGGAGACGGGTGTTGACACGTGTAATTGCGTCTACAAAATGTTATTGAGTTATTTTGAAGTTTCATTTTCTGTGGATATAATATATAGTAGGCCTATAGGCCTACTCTTAATTGGTCTCCGCACTTATCTTACACACTTCCTTGTTTGCCCAAACGTAAGCCGGTGTTGTTGTTGTTTGACATGTTAGATAGGAAGAACTCAATGTCGTTCTCTGGGAAAACGAATCTTTGTAAAGTTCATGGCAATCAATCCAAAAGTTGTGAAGACGTTTCCCTAAAAAAGGAAAGTGTGAAACAAATGGCGCCGACAGAGGAAAACTGCGGTGATCCTCAATCATTACAATTCATCCTCTGGGAACCATGAACCAACAGAATAGAGATTTCCTACACCTTGTATGGCTGAAAACCAGCTCTCTGAATAATGTCACCAGAGCCCATAACCCTCAAAGGGACGTTTTTTCCGAAGCCAATGTCAGAGCAACAGTCAATTGGGTTTTTAATTGCCTGCAATTAACTTCAATGACACAATCTCAGCCCACTGCCTCTTGCTGATTGCATGCTGCTATAACGGTAGTAGTACTTTCAGCCCGAGTGTGGGGTGTCAGAAAGCAGATGAACCAAATTCACTTATCAAGACTTTCATAGGTGGGAGTTCCTTGCAGGTGCTGTCTGTGTGAGCCGGGCAGAAAGTTGTTGAGAGCAACGGCTGAGAGCAGAGAATAAGTAAAGACAGACCATGTCCCTACAACAATGCAACTGGTAGACAATGTGTGTGTGCGTAGTGTGTGTAGAGTTTGAAGCAGCTGCTTCTGTGTAACCTAAACCTTCTACCTGTGTGGAGTCTGCTGACTTTTCGGATTCATCCTCACAGCCTCAATCTCTCCTGATTGCTCCTGTGCAATGCGTCATTCCCTAAGCTTGTTGCTTTTATACAGTAGAACAGTCACATGCACGACAGATGGGCGGGACTGTGGATGACAGATGACATCACAGCTACATGGTATGCTGCTAAACCTGATGCAGTATGTTCAAGCTTTAAGGACGATACATAAGCACATGCACTATTTACTAAAGGGCTTGATGCTCGCCCAAAAGCTTTGTTTATTTCCACAATATGGTTTTGTGAGGCTCGCAGCATTTTAAATGAATTTGTTGTTCTTCTCTTTTTATATTTGTGCCATTCTTGTATGACGGGATCCAAGCGGGTGAAATTGCAGTTCAAGCTGAA